TTATTTCTTTCTTACATTCTTATTTTTATATAAAAATACTCTGAAATAAGGCAAGTAAACAGATGATTGAACAGATCGATCAAGAAAATATTCAGTAAATCCACAACTACTGTGTAAACTCAAACCCGCTTTAACTCAATAACATTTCCTGTCACGTACACAATGTGTAGAAGATCATTTCGGGAGCAGACTATTGAAGAAAGATAAACTCTAGAAAAGAATGATTAGATCGAGAGAGAGAGAGAGAGAGAGAGAGAGAAAAGAAAGAGTAAAGAAAATAAGAAGAAGAAGAAGAAGAAGAAGAAAAGGGAAACAATCTAATCATCAATATTCATTAATTTAAATTTCGTCATAGGTTATTAAAGCATTTAAAAGAACACCTGTTAATTATTAATTTTCAAAAGAATTTTACATTTTTTCCTGTTGATAACTGCGATTTATTTTCGTCCTTCTACAAGTGAGTAGATCTACTTAAAAAAAGTTGTTACAATTAATTATTTTCCTTGAATATTGGTGGTTTAAAATTTAGATTTTAAAATATAAACACAGGAACTTTGAAACATTCGTCGTACATATTGTTCGACAACTAAAGATAAGATTGAATCGTTGGAAATATCTTTTATCGTCGCAGGTTGCAACTCATCTGATTCTTTGTACTCTTTGACATTTTCTTTTAATTGCTCACTAAAGCTTTTAATTGGAATGGGTTTCTGTTTTGCGCAATGAAATAATTGATATGACTGCGAAAAGTATTTCTATTAATCAGTAATCGTCAAAGAATGAAAAGTACCAAATCATTGTCCAGGAAAAAATTGCGAACTTCTATTTTAATTAAAATGAAACATAGTTTGAATTATTCTCTAAAGCCACATACATGTATCTTCTTAATTCAGATCAGAATTTCCCTTTTCATTGTGTCTGCACTTTCATTTTAATACTTGGCTCTACTCCTGTAAGACGCTATTATAGATTTTCTTCAGACACATTATATTTATCAAATAATAGACCGAAAGAAATTTCCAAGTTAACAAATTCTTTTTTATTATTTGACATTGTAGGATTTAAAAAAATTATGCAAATACAATTTTTTTATTCAATTTTTCTCAAACAAGAATGTAAAATAATTTGCAATCTCGCAAACTATTTGTGAATTTAGTATTTACACTTTCCAATTGGTCAAATTTATATAATAATTCTGTCCATCTAATGTCGAATTTAATATTTGATACTTTGTATAACTAGACAGTTTTCAATGTCATCAAAATTTGCAATTTCATCTAAATTACGCTTACTTTTCAAAGTTTACATTTTCGCATATTAGAATTAGAAATCTAGGTCTCTTCATTATATTTACAAAGAAGTGAAATATAAATGTACATATATATGCTTTTTATCTAAATCCTCTGACTTTTGTTTCAGTTTTAAAATTGAAATATCGTTTTTCGCCTAATCCTATATTCATTTTATTGTCTCGAGAAAAATAATTTCTGTGACAGATTTGAAGAATAAAAATAAAAAAGTGTCCAAATTGAATGATGTATTTAATTTTCAGGCAAATATACTCTAATTATGATATAGACTAATTTGATGAAACTTAAAAACCCCAAGGGACCTACATCCCATATATTATCAACAGTTCAAATTCGATCGCAAAATTCACGCTTGCGTACAAATATGACACTTGAAAGCATATTACAGTGAATTAACAGTTTGCGAGCCTTCGTTATAAAACCACATTCATTTATATCTCGGTCTCGGGATGTTGCTTGAATTAATAACCGCGCGTACAACTTTGGCATTATTTGATATATTCCTTTCTTTCCTTCCGATTGATGTTTACTAATTTAATTAAAAACATTTTTTTAAACACGTCGCGAAATATCGGTATAATCAATTATGACAGAAGCTCATTATTATTAATTTTCATATTCTTTTAAAATAACATCAACTTTAAACTTTATATTAAATTTAAAAAAAAACTGTAAAAGCACGGAACTGCTTTTCTTCTTTATCAATTCAGAAGGTCTCGGAAAAAAACGTTTTCAATGTTGAACGTCGACGCTCGACGCTAACTTCAGGTACATAGTTCATAACCACAATTGTCAAATAATATGCGAAAAGAAATTCTCTTACATTTTTTTAAAAAGACCAAAAAATGTGATTACGTAACACTGAAACCCCATGAAAAAAATTTTCAAGACAAAATTCCCAACATTCTCAGCGGTATCATAAATGTTTGAAGATTTCTTCTGATGACGTCGACCATGCACTCTCAGTCGAGCATATCTACAGGTCGTTGATATCAAGTCTCATGTTTTCTCAGATAAAGGCATTATTATTCTTGTCTGTTTCAAACATCGAGCTCCGTCTATAATTATTGACAGATGCGCTCACTTACAATAATTGTAATGACCATATAGCCCGGATTCTAGTATTATTAAATCTTATAATCATAAAAAGTTGTAAATATATTAAACATATTATCTCACTGAAAAATTTAACGTTTATTGTTAAAGATAATTTCTTTCTTGTATATAATTTACAATGTAACGAAATTACTGTATTCGTGAAAAATCAAATTACTTTCTCAAACTTTGAACATACATTTTAAAATCTGCTTTAAAAAAATTAGTTGAATATTTCCTGTGTATAGAAAAGTTCTTTTATAATGATAATCTCAAGTACTTTCTTGCTGAAAGAAAATTCAATGTTAAGAATCTACTTATCACTGAAAGAAAAAAGTATCTAATAGTGATTTTCATTTTTTTAATTGAAGTAATAACAAGCTATGACAATTTTTTCAAAGTTCGATTGTCAAACGTATTGAAATAAATATTTTTGACCTGAACTTGCCTAAAATGAAACTAGTTGGGTACTAACAATCTACAACATCTGGAAAGTTTGTTATGCATATCCTGATAAAGTGATAAAGATAAAAAATGTGACAAAGAAATAAGTTCAGATAATTACCTCTTTATCTTTCTTTATATATATATATATATATCTATAGGAAGGACGAGTATCACTTCTCCCAACAGTTTTAAAAAAAAAAGTTAAATTTAAAAAACCAATTTCTTTCAAAAACAGAAAAAGAAAAGTTTAGAAAAAGTCTTTACTTATTTTACGAACCTTTTGGTACATTAATTAAATTGAGACTTGATGAATTATTTATTAGAAAATCAAGTGCATTTTCTTGTTACAAAATCACTACTGAGACAGGTCAACTCCATTTCTAGCAACAGTTAATAGTATTCAGCACTATACCGGAAGAAGCATTTCCTCACTTTCAACATGCTTTATCCACTATTTACTATTGTCTATCTAAATTTGTTTATATATACTGTATACATATAATGTATGCAAACATCTGTGTAAATTCTGCTATAGACTCAATAACATGCTGAACGAGCTCATTTAATATTTTATTTAAAAAAAAAAAAACTTTCAAAATTTTTTTTATAATAAAATATACAAGTACAGAAAAGTAAACGAGCGAAAACAGAGAATTTTACATAACATACGAATACGCATAGGTTATTAGCATTAGGTCATGCTCAACGTTAAGTCGACTGACAAATACGCAGTATTTGAGAACTTCCGGTCTCTCATCTTTCTTGACTTTCGTGCAATTTTGTTTTCATTTTCAACATTTCAGATATGACTAATAGTTTACGAAAAACTATTTTTTATTTCTGTAAGAATTAAATGAATGAAATTTCCTTTTGTCTTCTAAAGCATTTTCCATTGATGTTTTTCTAATTAAGTATTCACGCAAAAACTTGATTATGATGAAGAATGCATGTAATGTTTATTTCCTTTTTTGTTTAGTCAATTTAATTATTAAACTAGTAATAAATTATGTACCTACCTACATTATGATTATGAATTTATTCATATTCAATGTCGAATATTATAATCCAGAAAACAGATTTTTCGATAGCATTCAAATAAAATATTCTTCATAGCTTAATTTTAGGAAAAATTTACAATATTTTTTTAAAGTCAAGGAAATGATTGAATGTGCTACAATTATTTTTCAAATTCTACCACATATTCTTTTGAATCATATTTATCAGAAAAAATATTCTTTATAGCACACTGTGATTATTTTGAACAAAATTTTCGATTCTAATTTTTTTTCAAATCGACAATTTATGAACATTATTACGATTTATTAATTATTTTTCTTGTCTCAGCATTTAACAGCGCATTTTTTGTATATAAACACTCGTGTAAATAATAGTGTTATTTTCAGTTGATTTATTTACGATTTAGTTTCTTAAAAGTTTCGACAAATAAAAATGAGAAGAATGTTGCGTCAACTTTCAATTTTAATTTGTTTCACGTGATTATAAGTGCAGATGCTTTAGGATTTAAAGGTTTTCATTTGATTGCTTCATTAGTTGCCTCATAATTGATTGCGCAAATACACTGAAACTTGTAAAGTTTTAAAAATTAAATAAACCTTAACTAAACTTTACGAAATGAGAGCGAACGTTTCTACTAATCTTTATGTCTTATAATTAAACTAAAAGCAATATTGTCAAGTCGTAATGACAGCGACTCTCTTTCTAATCTTAATACAACACTTATTTTAGGTTGAAAAAAATAATGACGATTATAATGCATTATTTTGGGACAATTAATTAAAAATTGATTTTTGTTGAAACAAAATTTTTTTAATAAATTGTCCCATTGAATTGAACTTGATGAATAATAATATAATAATTGTTTTCGTCATCTAGATTGCTTATTTAATAACATTTGAATGTGCGTTATATTGTCTTATTCGACCTGTTTGACGTTGAAAGATTTATGATGTTCGCGATAGTAGACTGACGAAAATGTCAGTACTTTTTTTTTTACATAAATTAGTTATAACTTATGTTTACAATTTACTATCATTAATATGTGTTTTAATGTTTTCTGTGATTCCAGTTCTGTAAATCATGAAGAATGATAGTGGAAATTTAAAAAAATTCAGATTTCGAATTACATACCTTGGAATGATTTTAAGGCCTTGGAATACCGAGGAATGTTGTTACTCTTTGCTCTTCAACAGACTATCAAAAAATGACACTGCATGACACTTTGGCGAACACTAAAAAAATGAGGGAATGTTTCTTCTTTGTTTTCTTGAGTCGTAGCTTCTTATCGCTATCACACACGACAATTACGCATCCTTTTTCAGTCTAGTGGAAGAGAAGTTAAAGTAGGTGAGATTGAACGTTAGGGACAAGAGTCATAATTAACCATTGACCAATCAATGGATAAGAAAGAGTTTAAGAAAAACTTTCGATAATAAAGATTTGAAGATGGGAAGATGGGAAGATTTTTATAGGTGTCAGAAGAAAACTGTCACTATTGTTCACGACCTTTTATTCACATGCGATTTTTGGTACTTTTAAGTTTACTTTCAAGTTTAGTTTTAAGTTTGAATAAATCACTTTTTAAAATTGAAGATCTCACTGATTGTTTCATTTGAATTTGGCTCGCATGACTTTAAAGTTTAAAGCAACCGTTTTGGCGAGCTCGAGATGAATCGAGTGAAATTAATTGGAAATAAACTTGTAGATAGTGCAATGAGTTGTTGAGTCTTGACTTTTAAAAACCGGAGCTCCTGCTCCGGATCCGATCGAGCAGGCACTGACCCCAGAAAAGTGAGACGAGGATCCACGAGCTCGACACCGTCGATGGCACGAAAGTGCACAGTCGTCCTTGCGGACAAGGCTCGGAAAACTTGTTTCTCGCGATATGTGACACGTTCTATCGTTGGCGGCCCGATTCGAGCGCGACAACGCTTTTGTCTGTCAGAGGCGTCAAAGAGAACGCGGTAAACTGAACTGGACCCCATACCAGTGCTGCCAGGTACCCTCACCAAACGCAACTGCGCTTGCGCGACAAAAATGCTTCTATTTGTAGAATAAAACTTCTCCATCTAAAGTACTTTATATGTATAATATAAAACGTTTTAAAAATGCGCGGTTCATTTCGCCAATAAGATAATTTTTGTAGTGCAAGCTAAGTTGCATTTGGTAAGGGTACTTCTGATTAGAAGGTAATTTTGTAAAAGAAGAAATTGAAATTGTTAAAAAAAAGGTTTAAAATTAAAGTGAAATGTTGAATCAAGTGAAATGTTGAATAAAGTTAAAATGTTATGAAAAATTTAAAATTTAAAAATTACACCGTTAAACTGAAACTAAATTATAAGTAAAAAAAAATTATTTAAATTTAAAGAAATAAATGTCTTTTAAAAAATTACCTCCCCTCCTATTATTGATTATTTTAATTTATAAAAAAAAACACAAATGTGCTTTTGTTTTTATAAAAAATTTGAAAAATTCAAACAATAATCAATAAAAGAAGTAGCATGTTTTTTAATTTCTTAAAAAACCTGGTATGCCTTTTTACAGGCTGGTTCGGATCTCATAAGAGATCTCCCGGTATGTACAATGGCAAAAAGCCATCACCACCAGGACCGAATAATGTTTTGTTAAATTATTTCCGCAATTAAGCAGTATATTGTCCATCGTAGAAATTTGTATTTCCGGTTGTTGAGGTTCCTCCTTTTCAATGTCCTTGAAGAGATTTAGTTAGTGCTGAAAAAGAGAAAATAATTACAAATTAATTAATTTTTTAATGTTTTTCATAAAAAAAAACTATTTTTTAACTATAAATTTTAAAAACTTACATTTAAAAATGAATGTTGAAAGTGATGGGAAAAATTATTTCTGCAATTCTGCAGCCTCATGTTCAATGTCATCATTCTTGATCCGAAATAGATGGTGATTTTTTATGGAATCCTTTGGTATGATCTTCTCTTGAATAAGTGCAAGATTAAGAATATTACGCCCTGCATTTACGTCTCTTTCCCACGTTGTTTTGCATTTCGCACAATAAGTGTACCGATGGGGACTTTTTGATATTTTAAGTGGTCTCACACAGCGACTACACATTTTTGTTGTATTAAACTCATTTACTTTCACGACTTGCAATTTATCTTTTCCTAATTCTTCTGATCTTTGGAAAAGAGTTTGTTGAATACGTTTCAAAGGAGCTTTAGTGTATCCCTTGATAAAATTAGGTATTTCAGCTCCACCAATAGCAACGAAACAGGGTTTCTTCTTTGTATCACCTACTATCCAATTCACAAGTTGATCAACTTGTCGTTTGTGCGCCGAATATTGATCTATTTTTAAACGCGTTACGGATCTTTTTTGATGAAGTGATTGAAAATTTTGTAAAAGGTGTATTCTATATTTTGTTATACGATGGCGATCTCGAGGATTAGTCATGCAAAAATTTTCCATCAATGGATCCTCAGCAAGTTGCTTGTAATATTTTTGCATGTCTATACCTTTTTTCTTCATTAATTCTCTTCTTCTATAGTCGCCCATCTGCCATCTCATCATCCAACTACCAATGTAAATAGCTGAATCCTTTTTTACATTAGTGGTTGGATTAGGATCGTTTTCTCTACTGACGCCAGCCAGAGTCGCCCTCGCACCAGGATCAAAACCACAAAATTTTGTGTAACTTCCAACTTTCTTCTTTGATTGCACAACATCATGTTTTGTGGGTAAATCAAAAATTACTGACACGTCCACACCATTTGTCGTTATTGTACCAGAGAATTTACCACCATTCTTTAATTTTTTTCGACCTCTTTGGATTGATTTAAAGTTGAACATTGAATTCCACCTTTCTTCATTGTTCATTTCTCTTAAGCGCTTCATTTCATCGTCCATTTTATCAACTGCTCTTTGAAGATGATCCTTATTCGTTCCTGATTTTCTTTTCTTTTTTTGTAAAATTGCCTTTTTTTCTTTAATTTCTTGAATAACAGTTGCCGTTTGCAATTCTTTTAAAGCAGTATTTGTATAAACCACATGCTTCACGCCTAATGAAATTTGTGGAATTAACGTGAAATTCTTCTTCTTTTTATCATGAAATTCTTGTTGAATCATAATGAAAAATGGCAAAAATTTATGCCATTCTTCATCTTTTGTCAATTTTGTAAAGTCCAATTTTCTTCTATCATTATCACCCTTTTTCAGTAGTAAATCAGTAGGGAATCCTTTCACTTGACATTCATTTTTTTGCAGCAGGAGATTTAAAGCAGCAACAGATTGTTTATAAAATGAAGGCCTTCTTTTTCGAAATTTCTTTTTTTCCTTATTCTTCTCTTTTTCTTTTTCCTTATTCTTCTCTTTTTCTTCTTCTTTTTCCTTTTTCGATTTTTTTCTTCGCCTTCTTGGCCTTTTTTTATAATAGACTTTATCGCAATGTTTGAGATATTTTTCCTGTCGAACATATCTTTCATCGCAGTAGTCTGATGTTTTTTTTTCTCGCATTTCATCTGGAAATTGTTTTCGAGATTTTTGAAATTCTTTTCTTTGTTCATTTTTAATGCTATTTTTAAAACTCCTAATTTTTATTTTTTCATCATTATCATTTTCGATATGGTAAACTGAACAAATTTCTTGAATTTCATCTACTTCCATATGATTTTTTTCTTCGTCTTCAATTTCCATTAATAGCTGCAAATATCTTCTTAATCGTGATGCTGCATGCGTCGTGAAATTTGTTTTAAAGTTTCGATTCAACACTAAAGCTGCCTCCTGAATTATTGCCGTTCTATGTTCTCCGTCATAAAGTGGAATGTCATTCCTTAATTCTTTATATTCGTTGACCATTGTATTTATTTTCGCATCCTGTTCAGTTACTTTACGTTGAGCATTTACTTTCTGCTTTAATGATATTAAAAATGACAGAAAGTCGGGACCATTGTTGGTCCATTTCTCCAACAATGATGGGCAATTTTCAACATTTTCAACATTCGTTTCTTCATATAGGCCGAATAATGCCATTGTTGTTGCCTCATACATCATTGATGAAACAACCTTTGCATCTTCTTCAATTCGATTTTTAATGTTTGCTGATTTACATAATTTTCCTAAACAAACTTTTACCGTATGCTTTTCTGTTCCCATTAATTCCAATCTTCTTCTCACTTTATGATGCAACGGTTTATCAATATTTTCATTATCCAAAGTAATTGACGTTCTTTTTCTGTTTGAAGAAACACCAATTGTAGATTTCTCGACACTGTATTTCTTTCGTTTTGAAGAGGGGCCAGCACCACTTTCAATTGATGAGTCAACACCTATAATTGGAAGAAATGAAAATTTTATTAACTTTATATTGAGAGAGATTAAGAAAATATAAAAGAAGAAAAAAGAATACAAAATTTTACCATCTCTTTTTGAAGTTGATGTTGAATGGGAAAATTTAGCTTCTTGCTTTTTCGATTTCTCTACTTTTGAAGAAGTGATTTTTAAATCAGGTCCAGTTGATGACGATAATGATAATGATGTTTCTGTTGGTACACGGTAAACTGAACACGGTGACAGCTTTTCAGGAGAATCACTTGGTGCTGAAAAAGAAAAAAAGGAATTAAATAAATTAAAATTTTTAAATTGTTATTTTAATAAAATATTTTCAAAATGTACCCAGGTGAAAATGATTCATCGTACGAATCATTTTTTCCTTGGTTAATTATTAAAAACTTACATTTCAAACTTAATCTTTGACTATGAAATGAAATTTTTTTTTCCGGTCCTTTACTCGAAGACAAAATTTGCTTTTCAGTCTTTCCAATTAAACTGATAGACATTTCTTCGCGAGATCCAGTTGGTGCTAAAAATTAAAAAGAAACAAAAGAATTAAAATTAAAAAATTCCTCAATTTAAATCAAATACTAGAAGAAAATAATTTTAAAAAACTTACATTTTAAACTCAATCTTTCACTACAAGAGAAAAATTGTTTCTCCGGAATTCCAGATTTTAGATCTTCAGTCTTTCCAATCGAACTGACACACACTTCTTCGCGAGATCTGGTTGGTGCTGAAAAATGAAAAGAAGGAATCAAATAAATAAAAAATAATAATTTTCTAATTTAAATCAAATACTTGAAGAAAATAATTTTAAAAAACTTACATTTTAATCTGAATATTCCACTTGAGCGAAAAGTTTTCTTCTCTGCTTTTCGAGGTTCAGCCTGCTCAGTCATTGAAGTTGTTGGTGATTGAGAAAATGTCAAATTTTCGTCAAATTTTTGTGTCTGTGAGTTACAGTAGAAGAATCTGGTAGATTGTCCTTCACGAGATTCATTTGTTGCTGAAAAATTAGAGAATAAACAAATAAATTACAATTGTTAACTTTACATATAAATAAAAATATTTTTAAAATACATCTGTTAAACACTAACATTGTAAACTCAATCTTTCACTGGAAGTAAAAGATTGTTTCTCCGGAATTCCAGCTTTCACATTTTCAGTCTTTCCAATTGAACTGGTAGACATTTCTTCGCGAGATCTAGTTGGTGCTGAAAATTAAAAAGAAACAAAAGAATTAAAATTTAAAAATTCCTCAATTTCAATCAAATACTTGAAGAAAATAATTTTAAAAAACTTACATTTTAATCTGAATATTCCACTCGAGCGAAAAGTTTTCTTCTCTGCTTTTCGAGGTTCAGCCTGCTCAGTCTTTGGAGTTGATGACGATGAAGAAAATGTCAAATTTTCGTCAGATTTTTGTGTCTGTGAGTTACCGTAGAAGAATCTGGTAGAATGTCCTTCACGAGATTCATTTGTTGCTGAAAAATTAGAGAATAAACAAATAAATTACAATTGTTAACTTTACATGTAAATAAAAATATTTTTAAAATACATCTGTTAAACACTAACATTTTAAACTCAATCTTTCACTGGAAGTAAAAGATTGTTTCTCCGGAATTCCAGCTTTCACATTTTCAGTCTTTCCAATTGAACTGGTAGACATTTCTTCGCGAGATCTAGTTGGTGCTGAAAATTAAAAAGAAACAAAAGAATTAAAATTTAAAAATTCCTCAATTTCAATCAAATACTTGAAGAAAATAATTTTAAAAAACTTACATTTTAATCTGAATATTCCACTCGAGCGAAAAGTTTTCTTCTCTGCTTTTCGAGGTTCAGCCTGCTCAGTCTTTGGAGTTGATGACGATGAAGAAAATGTCAAATTTTCGTCAGATTTTTGTGTCTGTGAGTTACCGTAGAAGAATCTGGTAGAATGTCCTTCACGAGATTCATTTGTTGCTGAAAAATTAGAGAATAAACAAATAAATTACAATTGTTAACTTTACATGTAAATAAAAATATTTTTAAAATACATCTGTTAAACACTAACATTTTAAACTCAATCTTTCACTGGAAGTAAAAGATTGTTTCTCCGGAATTCCAGCTTTCACATTTTCAGTCTTTCCAATTGAACTGGTAGACATTTCTTCGCGAGATCTAGTTGGTGCTGAAAATTAAAAAGAAACAAAAGAATTAAAATTTAAAAATTCCTCAATTTCAATCAAATACTTGAAGAAAATAATTTTAAAAAACTTACATTTTAAACTCAATCTTTCACTACAAGAGAAAAATTGTTTCTCCGGAATTCCAGATTTTAGATCTTCAGTCTTTCCAATCGAACTGACACACACTTCTTCGCGAGATCTGGTTGGTGCTGAAAAATGAAAAGAAGGAATCAAATAAATAAAAAATAATAATTTTCTAATTTAAATCAAATACTTGAAGAAAATAATTTTAAAAAACTTACATTTTAATCTGAATATTCCACTTGAGCGAAAAGTTTTCTTCTCTGCTTTTCGAGGTTCAGCCTGCTCAGTCTTTGGAGTTGATGACGATGAAGAAAATGTCAAATTTTCGTCAGATTTTTGTGTCTGTGAGTTACCGTAGAAGAATCTGGTAGAATGTCCTTCACGAGATTCATTTGTTGCTGAAAAATTAGAGAATAAACAAATAAATTACAATTGTTAACTTTACATGTAAATAAAAATATTTTTAAAATACATCTGTTAAACACTAACATTTTAAACTCAATCTTTCACTGGAAGTAAAAGATTGTTTCTCCGGAATTCCAGCTTTCACATTTTCAGTCTTTCCAATTGAACTGGTAGACATTTCTTCGCGAGATCTAGTTGGTGCTGAAAATTAAAAAGAAACAAAAGAATTAAAATTTAAAAATTCCTCAATTTCAATCAAATACTTGAAGAAAATAATTTTAAAAAACTTACATTTTAATCTGAATATTCCACTTGAGCGAAAAGTTTTCTTCTCTGCTTTTCGAGGTTCAGCCTGCTCAGTCATTAAAGTTGTTGGTGATTGAGAAACTGTCAAATTTTCGTCAGATTTTTTTGTCTGTGAGTTACCGTAGAAGAATCTGGTTGAATGTCCTTCACGAGATTCATTTGTTGCTGAAAAAATAGAGAATAAACAAATAAATTACAATTGTTAACTTTACATGTAAATAAAAATATTTTTAAAATACATCTGTTAAACACTAACATTTTAAACTCAATTGTCGTTTTCTCTTCATTATGTCAATACAGTAGATACTGGTACATGAATTTCTGTAAAAAAAAAAAAATTTTGTTAAAAAGACAATAATAAGGGTGCAATCTAATGACATCGTTTTGCGTTGGGTTTTGTAATTAGGCTATTTGGGTATTTTTTAAAAATTTTAGCAACTACAAGCTACTACTTGTGTTAATATAATTATATATATTTTTTTCTAGAATTTACATTACATTAAATTCACAAATTATTAGAGATCAAGCAACTATTTACAAAAATGATAATAAAATTCTTTAAAACGAAATTCAATTAGTAGTTTAAAAAAAATCTTTGAAATTCAATTATATTGTCTTGAAATTAGAAAATAATCAATTATTTGAGAAAATCATTTTCAAAAAGATGAATTATTTAACAAAATTTTCATTAAAATAATTATAGTTTTGATAGAAATTTGAAAAAAGTCTGCATAATATAATGTAGAGAATAAATAATTTATAAAGTTTCTAAAATGAATTCTTTTAATAGTCAAGTTACAAAAAGCAAAGCAAATAACGATGCCATGGGACTGCACTCGGGGACTTATTTTATCAACGATTATTTAATAAACTGTCGAATAAAAAAAACGTCCGTCTGCCTTAAAAAAGCTTTGCTGTAATACAGCTTTACGTCCGTCTGCCTTAATAAGGCTTTGCTGTAATACAGCTTTACGTCCGTCTGCCTTAAAAAGGCTTTGCTGTAATACAGCTTTACGTCCGTCTGCCTTAATAAGGCTTTGCTGTAATACAGCTTTACGTCCGTCTGCCTTAATAAGGCTGTGCTGTAATACAGCTTTACGTCCGTCTGCCTTAAAAAGGCTTTGCTGTAATACAGCTTTACGTCCGTCTGCCTTAATAAGGCTTTGCTGTAATACAGCTTTACGTCCGTCTGCCTTAATAAGGCTTTGCTGTAATACAGCTTTACGTCCGTCTGCCTTAAAAAGGCTTTGCTGTAATACAGCTTTACGTCCGTCTGCCTTAAAAAGGCTTTGCTGTAATACAGCTTTACGTCCGTCTGCCTTAATAAGGCTGTGCTGTAATACAGCTTTACGTCCGTCTGCCTTAAAAAGGCTTTGCTGTAATACAGCTTTACGTCCGTCTGCCTTAATAAGGCTTTGCTGTAATACAGCTTTACGTCCGTCTGCCTTAATAAGGCATTGCTGTAATACAGCTTTACGTCCGTTTGCCTTAATAAGGCTTTGCCGTAATACAGCTTTACGTCCGTTTGCCTTAATAAGGCTATGCTGTAATACAGCTTTACGTCCGTCTGCCTTAATAAGGCTTTGCTGTAATACAGCTTTACGTCCGTCTGCCTTAATAAGGCTGTGCTGTAATACAGCTTTACGTCCGTCTGCCTTAAAAAAGCTTTGCTGTAATACAGCTTTACGTCCGTTTGCCTTACGTCTGCCTTAATAAGGCATTGCTGTAATACAGCTTTACGTCCGTTTGCCTTAATAAGGCTTTGCCGTAATACAGCTTTACGTCCGTCTGCCTTAATAAGGCTTTGCTGTAATACAGCTTTACGTCCGTCTGCCTTAATAAGGCTTTGCTGTAATACAGCTTTACGTCCGTCTGCCTTAATAAGGCATTGCTGTAATACAGCTTTACGTCCGTTTGCCTTAATAAGGCTTTGCCGTAATACAGCTTTACGTCCGTTTGCCTTACGTCTGCCTTAATAAGGCTTTGCTGTAATACAGCTTTACGTCCGTTTGCCTTAATAAGGCTTTGCTGTAATACAGCTTAAGTTGGTCTGCCTTAACAAGGCTTTGGTACTATTGCTTACCTGTAATACAGTTGAGCATGAAGTGCCAGTCTCGTCTCGGGCGCCTGCTTATATACCCGTGTCCCCACCACTTCGAGCGTCCCCACCAGTGCGCGCTTGTACTACTAGCGCCGTGGTGATGTACAAACTATTTCAAGCATATTTTCGGTAACTCGTACCACGAGTCGATAATGCAGAAAGTGAAATTACCTATAGTTGTGTCAAATTTCAAAATAAAGAATTTGTTGGTAAAGCAGTTTTGTTTTGTTTACGATAATCTGTGCAGAATGGAATATACAAACGTGTTGTATAATTAATTAAGATAAGTATTGTTTTTTAATGAATAAATAAATAAGTAAATAAATAGTTTAATTATTTTAATGCGAATTAATTTTTTTTTTCAGGTTTAAATTATAGGTGCAATATATGACAGTAAGGAGAAGAAGAAAATTAAATTGTGCATTGAGGTTAGTTTTACTTTTAATATTATAAATATATATAATAATATATAGTAAATAACAAATAATTAATTTATTAATTATAAATAACAATATTAAAAAAAAATTTATTGAAATTTATGTTTATCAATATAAATCTTGATAATCACACAAATTAATATTAAAGGTATATTGAAATTGTTTTTATTTTTTAGGTTAAAAATTCCAACCATACGGCAAGTCATAATAAATTTGACACATACCATAAGGAAACGAGCGACACCAGTTCGGAAAATTAATTAGGATAAATATTGTCTTGAAATTTTATTTTGAGGTTAGTTTTAATGTTTAATTATTGTTTATAGTAATAAATAGGTATATTTTTTTCTCTTGTTTCTAACTCTATATGTAGGCTTCTCATGGAAACATTGTTTTATTATAAATTTTTTTTTAAATTTAAAATTAACCTTAGAAGAATAGAAAATGTTGACAAAGAAACCAAAGAAATTACAGTTCCTCTACGGGTGACTTGTCTAAACAGATAATCTTTGATTCGCTGCTTTTTTGACAAAATGGTTACTAAAATATTATTTTGAATAATTTAGCCCATTTGCTGAAAAACAATTTCTTGGATAAACTCATTTTATTAAGTAAACGTTTGTGTAAAGCCACATTATATCGAATGAAATTTATATGGATTTAACGTTTGACATAATTTGTAATTTTGATCAAATTACATTTTGGACTTTTTAAAAACGGGGATATACAGGCGCCCCAATCAAATATGTTCGCTCTCGACTGTGTATTAAACGTTTTAAAAATGCGCGGTTCATTTCGCTAATAAGATCATTTTTGTAGCGCAAGCGCAGTTGCGTTTGGTGAGGGTACCTGGCAGCACTGCCCCATACGCGCGACGAGCTCGACCGGCGCTTTGCTTCGGATTCGGTCGGCGACTTTCGGAAACCGACTACTCACTCTTCCCCTGCTCGCTCACTTGTATGCATTTGTGCTTTCTCACACACACACACACACACACAGCCAGATAATAATAATTAGTTTTTCAAACTTTACTATACTTTCAGTGACACTTTATCGAACACACCAATCAAATTTCTTCATCTTACATCTTATTATCATCTTCTCTCTAAATATAGAATTATACATTATATAATCTGCAATAGATAATAGTTGACAGCATTTGAATATCGAAAAGGGTTCATCTCGGAAAATTGTAATATCAATCTAATATACTTTCGTAAAAATATTTTCATCTCGAAAATTTGGATAAAAAAGCTCTGATATTAAACTCATTGTGTCTACGAAGTTTTGTATTGAAATAAATCAATAATACATTTCGTCGGAGAGTTATCTTTGACGAAAGCTGTAGTTAAAAATTATTTTTTCCATAGTTGCAATTAAGCACATCTATTCACCGCAAATGTGTAGGGAAGACTGAGAATCTTTTTAGCAGTACATATATTGAATATTGATTTTTTCTCCAGGAAACCAGTGAGACAAAGATTCACTTGAAACGCTTTATAACATAATTTGTCATTACATATTTAATTCCCTATAATTGAGAACTTGAGACGAATTGTGTGGAAATAGTTATCTTAAACCCATAAGCAGAAAAGAAACATAAGTGTATCGATTCTAGAATAGCAAATGTACTTATGTGAAGCATATATAATTAATATTAATAGGAATGACAGTAATTAATTTGAGAATTATAAACTTTATACAAATAATTCAAGTGGAAAATTATAAATTAAACTTCTTCTATAGACAAACTTACACCTATATATATATATATATATATTATGAAAGTTAAGGCGCTCGTCTGCGATGACTTTGGGAAAAGCATCGATTTTTTCTACTTAAAGGTAAAAGAGAAGATTGAGCTACATAAGTTAGTGACTTTTCGCAATTAACTATTAATATTTTATTATTGCCGAGAAGTGAAAAAAGAATTTTGCGGGATTGTAATAGAGTAATAATTATCTTATGGATGTGCATGCACCGTCGCGTCGATTCATGAGCGAGAGCAATGCAGTCTTATTTTAACCCTCAGAATGGACACTTCTTTTAGATCTTTTTATATGATGAACGAAAAGTCACTGTCGGCTATTGGTCAATGGCCCTATCAAAGGAAATTGAAAAAAGTTCTTTTCTCAACTTTAGTTTATATTAGTCTTATAAGCTTACTCATTCCGGAGGTATAACTATTATTTATTGTATGTAACTATTAACTATAAATAAATTTTTACTAAAATTGGCAATTATTTTATTATTAGCTGTTAGGCTTGAAAAAACATTGGGGAAACTTGGACATAGTAATTGAATGCATACCGCCTCTTATTATATTAATTGTCGTATTACTTCTATTAACAAACTTTATTATTAAAATGGAAAGAGTAAGATCTACTCTTTATACTAATTACTAATTTTTTAATGTATAACGAAAATAACCAATTATCAATATTCCTTAATTTCACGTAATTTCAAAATTTTAACATCTCAATATCTCAGTTGGTTTCTAATCAAAAAGTGTAACTGTCAGAAAATGAGGAGGATTGAAAATTTGAAAAACCTATAAATTAAGCGCTCTCTGCACAGTGAAGACTCGTTCTGTCTTCAAGATTCTTAATTAATTATTACAATTATATTATTAATAAATTCCTAAAAAACCATGCAGCAATTAATTGAAATTGGTGTCAGATAGAACTTATATTTTCGAAAATGAAACGCGATTGGGTCTATTGGAGGAGAGATTCAAAAATTGAAATCCTACACGCTCATACTAGGAGAGGAAAAGATCTTAATAAATTATACATAAGTATAGTTTCATCAATAAAGAATTAACTATAACTAAAAAATAAAGAAAACTATCATATAACATTTATTTTTTTATAGTTTACATTATTTTTACTGGAGTTGCTTATTTGCTTTTACCAATTGTTCCACAACTTTTAAACATGTACCATCAGAATCAATCTGTAGTAAAACAAACACTGTATTTCACGGACTATTACGTAAATGAAGAGCAATATTATTTACCGATATTAATTCATAGCTACATATCAAGTCTCACTTGTATGCATATTCTAGCCAGCATAGAAATTACATTTTCTTCAGTGATTCAGCATGCTTGTGGAGTGTATTCTGTTTTAGGGTAAAAGCAGAACAAGTGTGCAAAATATAGGCACTTAATTGTAAATTGTCTTTATTCATTGCAGTAATAAATTTTGTCACTATTTGCAGAGCAAAACTGGAAAATCTTTTAGACGATGACTTTTATGCTCGTGCAATAGAAAAAAAAATTCCACGAGAAATAGATAAAGAGATTAGAATGTATGTTCAAAAACATCTACAAATAATAGAGTTTGTATATTTTTTAATAAGTGTAAAATAGTTATTTATTATTATGTTAATATTATTAATTTCTTTATTCAAGATTTGTTAACGACATATGCGATTGTTTTTCAACGTCATTTTTCTTGATCTTAGGATGTAATACGATAATAATAAGTGTGACTGGTGTACAGGTATCAATAAGTGTATTTGATAATTAAAATTAAATAATATTCTGAGTACACAATCTATTATTGAGTAATTTCTTTTTTTAGACTGTAATAAAACTTGATAAATTAGACGAAGCCTTAAGATTCGGTACTTTTACTCTTGGTCAAATTATTCATCTTCTCTATCTCAGTATTCCGTGTCAACAATTGATTGATCATAGTCTCAGTGTATCTGCCAGCATGTAATGGATAATTATCTAATATGAAAATAATTTTAAATAATTAAATTAATTAAAAATAAGTAATTTACTGAAATTTCAGTTACAGTGGTTACTGGTATCAATTGTCTTTAGAGTCGCAAAAAATGTTGCTGTTTATCATGAAAAGAAGTTCAAAACCCTCTGAATTCACGGCTGGAAAACTTTTTACCTTTTCGATAAACAATTTTGCCTCGGTCAGTAAAATCAAAATTCATTTAAAAATCAATTTTTATAATTACTGCTTCATTAGATAATCTTTCACTTTTTTTCTCAAGGTTCTTCGAATGTCCATGTCATATTTTACTATGCTGTCTTCAATTCGATAAAACATTCCATTTATTTACTATAATAATTATATAAAGACACCAATATTTTACTATTTTACAGAAATAAATAAAATTTAAATAATTAGTACTTACATACAATCAAGTAAGTATTTTCAAACGAACTCTCTAATCAAGTACATATTATGTAATTTATTGCATTTTCTAATTAAAATTTTCTCATAAAAATATAAATCATTTCTCTATTAAATAGGTAATAAACAATAATTGGAGAAGATCCCGCTGAGTTTTACCATCAGATGAACCACAAAATGGGGAATTCCTAAAGCAAAGAGAAAAAAATCGCTTGAATAAAAAAAATGAATTTCTCGATTAATAAATAAATGAAATGAATTTTAATGAAATAAATATTTACATGAGAGAATAAATAATTTTTGTTTAAATCAAATAAACACTTTTCGATACATTAACTTTTTTAGTCGAGGCAAGATTATTTGATACAAATAGATATTTATTTTGATAGTCAATTTATTTATTATTTGAATCAAATAAATTTGTTTGTTAAATATTTGAGAAACGACTTTTTAATGATGGAAATTATAAACAATAATAAGTGTAATAAAGTGAAAAAGTGGAAAATTTGTATTAAAATTTTAAATGAGATAGAAGAAATGAACTCCAGAATATTGTATACCAACATACTTTCGCCTATATACATTATGCAAATTGACTCCATCGATTGTTGTTACACCCACGTAAACTTGTTGCGCGCGTTTCAGCAGCCGAGATCATTTCATTTTAGAGCGCGTGAATTTCAGACTTTCCCAATAGCATTTGAAAAGTAATCTGTGTATGAAAATAGGGTTTTGCATCTAAAATTTAATAACTTGTTTTCCAATTCAGACAGAAAATAACGCAGACGTTTATTACCTCAAGAATCGTGAAATAATGGCAATTATTTTTATATCAGCACTGCAATATTTAGTAATATCTCTCATTACTTTTCAATAATATAACTTTAATGTAATGAAAATTATCGACGCTGAAACTCTAGAGTATCGTTCGAATGCCACGATACACCCAAGCACACATAGAGACAACATAATTATATTGTATTGAGTATCTCGATGTGCCAGATATTGCAGCTCAGCATGAATGATACTCATCTGATAAGTAGACAGACCATGAAAGCGCAACATCTTGGTCCTTTCAGTCAATGTTGCTTCCGAAGTCTGTCAATTTCCCCCAAGAATTATTGCTGATAAGCATGTTGCAAACAAAAGTTACACACAAATGCATATCTGTAATTCAACTTCTATTTCCATTACGTGTCAAGTTACTTCTTTTAAAAAGGTTTCAAAAGACACTCGCGGAGTTAATAAACAATAATAATAATTGCCCCGAGAGATAAAGGGGATAAAGGAGAATCCGAGTTGCAGTCGTAACACCATAAGTAGTGGATTATAAAGCCCAACGCGAATCGTACGACGTGTAAGTATAATACGGTAGGATGATAATCAAAGTCCGTTCTCGCGTGCAAAGTCAACCATGCCGCAATTACTTGGATGTAATACACGGTTGTCGTTGCCACGATTAGCTGTCTTCTTTTCTGACTCGACCATCGCAAATTGTACACTGCCATACACTGCCGTATTTTTTATGAATTCCATATGCATACATAAATTTATATACAGACACACAGTATTAGTATAATCCGTTCGATAAAATCAACGACCAGTTTCAGTCGGTTCCTGTTAATCTTAGAATTATTCTGTTCTATGGTAAACAGGAATTAATGGAAAATGTAAATCTTGATGCTTTTCAAGTATCTGCAAGTTATCCTCGAGCGGCAAAGAAACTAAAAAGTTCTCTGAAAACTTGGAATTTGTATTAAGAGTTTTTCAGAAGTCTATTATAAAATTTCCTTTTATTCAACTATTTCAAAAAAACATTATTACGATTATTGTACAAAAATAGAAATTAATACTGGAGAGATCGTTTTGTTTGAATATCGTCTAAAATTGTCCTGAGTTCTTCATCTTCAAGTCGACTTTCCAAACTCGGTATCAGTGCTTTTGCCTCTTCTGGAGTTTCGGGACAAATATTTGCTAACGAAGCCAGCTCGAATTTATGCAATTTTTTTTGCATCAATAAACTGGAGGAGAGAAAAAAATTAATGCTACAGTGTGAATAAATTTTTTAAAAAAATTTTCTCTTCAAACTTGAAAATATATGTTGATACTAGAGTATGAAAATTTAAACTTACCTTCTTACGGCAGCGATAGTTTCCTTGTTCTTAAACTTACGAAATCGATTGGTATAAGTTAGAGTCTTCATAAAAACTTCAGAAAATTCCTGCTCTTCCTCGGCAGACTCATTTTGAGCTTTCCTGTGCTCTAAAAGCATGTGCACTTCTGATACTAGTAACGTCTCAGCATTCTCGAACTCTAAAGAAAAGAAAATTTACTTGTTTATTTTCAGAAAAAAACTTTAAAAAATTAACGATTTCCCAGAGATCACACAAAAAGTAGTACAAATATTGAGAAAGTATAAATTATTTATTGTATAACTTCGTAAACAGAAACTAATGTTAAATTCTAATATCACATAATGAGTAAAATGTAAGTTATAAATTAAGTGGCAGGATTATTAATGTATCCCTGATCGGTTAAAAAGTCGTAGATTTTTCTAGTCTTATTAACATCGATTTTTAATAAAGCTCTAGCTTGAGCCAATCTCAACATTCCATTTCTTTTATTCTCGCCGATGAGGGTGTGTTTAAAGTCTATGTAACTTGAGGGAACTATTCGAATTTTCGAACATAGATCGGCTTCGTCCGGAGAAAGTTTCTCGAAACCAGGAAGTCCCCTGATTGCCAAGGGTGGCGGTGCTCTCCTCTGAGTAACTCCCCCGACGACAGATGCTTTCAAATCAGAGTCGCTGCAGTGCATTATATTTTTCCAATTACTGTCCAAACTCGCCAAAAGATTCTTCCTCTCACGTTCACTCTCCAGCCTAACATTTGCCAATTTTTTAAATAGTTTCACACTCTGAAAATATTTCAAACCATTTTTTCGATATTCGACAAGTTTCTGCAGCTGGCATTTCAATTCACCAACTCTGTGCAGACCTTCTATGACATAATCAAAATCCATGCCAGTGACTAATTGCATGAAAACTAATAATCTCTCGACTAAAGGTCTCGTAACACTGTCGTCGTACCTGTGTAACCAGGTATTAATTCTTCTCAAAGTGATCAAACCGTGATCTTTTATAATTTTCTCCCTCCGCTTACGCTCTCTTAATCTGTTATTGTAGACACTGACTAAAGAAAGTTGTAGATTTCTTCCTAAATTGTCCTCAGGATCGTCCGAGTTGAAATCATCGAACTTTAAATCAGAAACAACAAGTTCGGCGTGATGATCGAAATTAACTTCAAAATCAGACCTCGCTGGATTGTAGCCTGACAATAATCTACTGTTAACAGTGTCGCTGGAAAATCTTGGTGGATCCTCCAAATCGTCTAATTTAAACATGTAGGGAATCGCTGGAATATGAAAAAGATTGGTGTCGGTTTCCTTAAATTTTGGCAATTCGTTAATACTCGGCTTGTCTATGTAATGTTGCAAATAATGAGCTTTACATTCTTCGGGAGTTTTACCATACATTCTTCTCGAAATATCGATCCAATTACCAAATCCACACTCTAAAAGTACATCCAATAATTCCAATTCTTCCTTTGCAGTCCAGACGGAATTGTCAAATAGGGGAAATTCATTTCTCACAATAATGTAATCGTGATCATTCTTATGACTTTTAATTTCTCGACCACTTGAAAAGCAGGCACAACAAAGTTCTATATAATTACATATTGCACATCGGATATGAGGTTTTGATAATGTAGAATTACATATAAAACATACGGAATCTGAAGTAATGATTTCCTCCTTCTCGACTGACACATTAAGATCGATATTACTATTGCTCTCGAGCGTAATATTTGTGTAGTCTGAAAGCAAGAAAATCATTACTTTAGATACTTTTGACAATTAAAATACTTGTTCTTAATTTACATTAATTTAACAATTTATGAGAGGAAAATATTTTTAAAATATAATTATAGAAATCTTGAAAAACAAATCAATTTAATTTGGCTTGCAATATACTTTAGTTTCGATAATATTAATTCAATTTTACTTAATTCTTAATTTCATTTTTATTATTTTTATCAATTCATAAAATTGTGATATATTTCTATTATTATAACAATCTTTTTTTATTAAATATAATGAATGTAATTAAAGAGTATTAGAGGTTATGTTATCTTGTCTGTATCATGTACTATTATTATTAAACAATTTTTTAGGTTTACCTTTCGGAAATTTCAATTCAGCGGCATCATCATCTGCCATGTCAATGAAATTTGGATTTGCCATTTTAATGGAAATAAATACTTCTGTTTTTTTAGTAAATTAAACACTGCAAATACCGTAAATACACAAAAAAGTGACAGGTGCGAGCAACCAGGACTGCCAATCATATTTCCTCGGTCGATAACATTCTACCAGTGGATAGTGGCGACACTTGAGAATATTTTAAGTACTAAATACATCTGACGGTAAGTAGGTACTTATTCCTAAATTCAAAAGACAATATTATAATTATCGCTGCGTATTTAAATATAATTATTATTTTGAATCCAACACATATTAAATACTATTCTTTATTTTATATCTGTACATATATTATAGAATATTTATTTATTTATTTATAATATATTTAAATTGAATGTTTTGTCATTTATAAATAATCATGAAAACATTGTATACAATTTGGAATAAGGAATTAAGGAAAACAATTAACTCTTAATTAGTCATAATAACTTATAAGAGCCCTCAAGTCACTTGTTATAGTAGAAATGAGATTTTATAGTGCTTGCAAAGAGCATGTAGTTACAGCTTTGTGTTATTTATTTTTTAGTCTAATTGAATTATATTTAGAACTATGTTAAATTCAATCTTAAATAATGAGTTTTCTTAAACATTTTAAAAAGGGACAATCAAGTAAGTCATTTATAATTTCTTTTATTTTTAAGATGAAACAAATGAAATTTAATAATTGATAAAAGCATGCATTCACATATATATAAATATAGTAAATAGATAATTCTCGTGACAATAATAATTTTAAGAAGAAAATTTAAAAAATAGATGTTATACATTTTTATAAATAATCAAAATATAGAACAAACTTGGTAACTATGCAAAATTTGTAGGAGATTCAAAAATCTCGTACCATTCTTCAAGTGAAATGCTGGAAATTCACGAAAATTCTGCAAATAATCGATTTTACAATTCCGTTTATCAAAATACAACTGAAGGAAAAATGTAAGTGTGTTATTTTATTTTTATTTACAAATTTATAACTATTATATTTAGGTTTATTTATTTTTTATTTAATCTGAAAAAATACTTTAATCGCATTGTAAATATATAATTTAAAATATTAATAATTCAGTATTAAAAAATTGGAACTGACCAATATAATTAAGTTATTTGTAGATATTATTTAGAAAATACAATTTTTTAATAAAATTTTAAAACTAAAGAGAAAAATATTTAATGAAAAAGGTGTAGACATATAAGTAAGCATCACGTATATATAAATGATTTTTGGATCCCGTTAGCACGCTTTTACCGTTTTTGAAAAAAAGCGATAAAATTAAGAATTTTTAAGAAAGAGATAATTTTATTTTAAAAAAAAAGGAAGAACTGGTATAAACATCAAAAATGTTTACCAAATATGTTATTTTTTCAGCAAACATTTTTTATGACTTTATAAAGCAAATTTAAAGCTTGTATATCTACAGCGCAATAACAAAATATTAACATAAGATAATTAGGAAATATTTACTTCATTATGACTGTAGTCGGGTAAATGAACAAAGGTACAAGAATCTCTAAACTTTGATCCGGCACTGTTTTTATATACATAATTGATATCAAAGGAATCACATTTCAAGTGCTATGATAATAATATGTATTGTCTTCTCATCTTATCGACAAAATATTTTATCTTAATTTTTACAAATCAATTTTTATTTGTCTACGTTCTACTAATTTTTTCAAAAATGTACTTTGATCGTAGTAATCTTTTACTCCGAAAACAGTAAGAGCTGACAAAAATGATGAAAAGTTTCGGACAGTGTTTGGAAAATAGTAAAATTTTATTCGTTTTCTCGGTGTAAAACGTTAAGAATGAAATGAAATGAAAAGTAAAGTTATAACAATTAGACGTAATTAAGATAAAAATAAATTAATTACATCTACTATTAATGACTCTTTAAGTCTAGTAAATCTATCCGTTTTGAAGTGAAGATATAAAAGATAAAGTAAGATAATAATAGGAAAATCAATGAATTGACACTTCATTTCATTTAAGTATTAAGCTTCTCAAGTCGCTAAAAGTTTCTACTGCAAATGCAATTTTTAATGAATCCTTATCTCGAGCTTCTTAAATAAAAATTACCATATATTTTCAAGTAGATTCATGAAAACAAATAGTTTTTTCTAAAAAGAGACTTTAAGATTTTATTTGCATTCGCCAATAACCATCTTCATTATACTCTCTAAATGTGAATTAGTTTTACTTATTTTTTCACTGAAATAAAACATTGGGCACCGAGTGTGAAAAGGAGCCGTTTTCCGACCAGTTTTTTAATTGCTCAATAATTGTTAGCAATCAAACTCTTCAGAAAAGCTGTTGGTACTTAATAACGTTGGCCACACGCATTAATAAAATTATAAATGAAAACTTGATATTCTTAATTTTTAAAAAATAAATGCAGTTACATTATTTTCATCTAGTCATTAAGGATCAAAAAAATTGCTCGTAATCATTTAAATTTTAAAATAAAATGTACTAGTTTTTTAAAATTAAATATTAAATTAACAATACATGTACAATATATTGGTGTCATATTGATGCATTACATATTAGCCTGAATGATCTAGAATTAAGCGCCAATCAATCAAAATAAAAGTATTTATATCGGCCATGAATATAATCAGTAGATATTGAGTGAAAAGAAAATCTTGTTTTTAGGGAAGTACAGAATCATATATTTTGAGTTGCTGCGAATTATAAAAATTATGTTGAATTCATTTTTAAATTAATTTTAAATAATTGAAATATTGCTATTGAGATATTTTCATAAAGTTGAGTGTCCATTAGTTTATTAAAAGTAATTTTTATTACATTAGCAAATTTGAAAAGAGAAAAATAGATTATTAATATATGTACCAAGAAATATGTTCAATAATCTATCTTGTCGATGATATGTGACGATCCTTATTACTCTGTTTACTGCACTTAATAAATATTGAAATTGAAAAATTGTCATATACTTTCAATTATCGTAATTGGACACACCGAATGTTTTTGCTTTTTATATTTTCCGTGAAATTCAATAAATTGAATTGAATTAGAAAACTACCTTCGCTTGTTGTTATGATCGTAAAATAATGGTTCAGTCGCATGTTTTTAGATACTAACTTTATACGCAGATAGTAACGATGCGATTTGAATAAAAAGAATTTATTAATTTAATATATAATAAATAAAAATTTTCTTTTATTTGGGAAATTTCGTATATTGAAAACTGTTAGATTAATAGCATCTCACGTGTACTTTCACGTGAATCTGCATATAATCAAGTTTGATAAGAGTAGAAACAAATGAAAATGAATGGTATTCTCGTGCTTTTGTTTACTCATTTGAAAAAGGCCGGAGTTTAATCGCGCGCAGTCTTCAATTCAATACAAGAGTTTGCAATGAACAGTTGCACTTTTTTCGCACACATATTATTTTTTAACTCAGAAATAACAAAACTATCACCAGTGATATGTTTACATAAAAATTTTGAATTCCTGTTCCAAGAGATATTTACAGTTTTATTGAATTAATCACAAGTTCGAAATGATGAATATTTTGGATGATATTTCTTCTGCGTGACTAATGTCGCACATTCCATACAAAAAAGAAGAGATTTGAATACATTAAAAATGATAGACGAATTTTCGACTTTGATTTCTCGAAAAAGAGATGGAAAATACGAAAATTGATAGTAGGAAACAGGAGTAAGTGAGAGAATGACATTGGGTGGGAGAAGTGGTTTAAATACGAGGAGAAGAACGCGCACTTGTTCAGTCCAGTGGAAACACTACTAGAAACTGATTCATCCGGAGTAGTAAGATTGTCAATAAATTATTAATCAAAAAAGAAGAAAAATCAAATATTTATTTAGTGTAGTTTCACATTTTTAAAGCGGCAGCATGGAGCATCCACTCTGACCACTATTAACAAAGAAATTAAAAAAGGATTTCAAAATTTTCATTCAAAAGTGAATGCAGTGAAATGTGTCAGTGAAATTCAAGTATAATATTTGTATATTTTACTCAAAAATTGTAACTGCAATTTCCTTGCGGAATTAATAAAATGACCAACAGTATGAAGCAAACTGTGATTAAGTAAGTTTCACTCATGATTTTCTTTCAGAATTTAAGAATAAAATGTATTAGTTAATAAATAAAAACATGCGAATCGTTCTTCACTATATATCGTAAGTGCATTGACTTTTCATTTTCTTCATTTATGATCAAAATTATTATGTTACAACTTTACAAGTGAGAGTTCTGATAATTTATATTATATTTTTAAAAAATATCCTTTTTTTTGAAAAGCGCTATAAAAAGAAAAAATTTAATTTGCACAACTTTCACTGATAACTGGTATTATTGTATTATTATTATTGTAGAAGCAACATTTTAATTATTCCAATTTGCATCTAATTAAATTTTTTTAAATTTGATGCTGTGATAAATTACAAAAATGTTTCGTTTACTTTTTCTATTATTTATAATTTTACTTGAATCAAAAAATAATTATAAAAAAGCAATGAATATAAGTATTGCTTTCTTTTTCTTAATTAATCTTCTTAACCAAAGTTTATATTTTCGTACTACATTGCATAAGAATTTTGTACAATAAATCTTCAACTTTGTGATTTCAATGCACGAAACAAATCGTCAAAGTCAGTAAGGTTACAGTCTTTCCAAGCGTTGATGTTACAATTCATGCACATGTAAATAATGATGTTTTACTCATAAAAAAGAAGTTTTAATTTTCAAGTTATTTAACTTGTTCTATTATTTAAAACCGCACATAAAAAATTTAACTTATTGAAATAAATTCCGGAAGATATAAATGTCATGTGATAATAATTTTAACCTCTTTGAAGCTCATACATATTATGTATAATTTCACCAATTATCGATGTGTTTCTAAACACTACACAAATTCAGGTATATATTATGTGTATTCAAATTTGCAGTATTGTTAAATATTTTTTCCCGGAAGCAACTTTTAAAGATAAGGAAGTGTGTATACGTTCACAGCTTTTGTTATATTATTATTTTTTGTCATATTCAAAAAATTTTAATAATATTGATAAAGTATATTGTATACTTAAAATTATTTATTTTTGCTTTTCATGAGCATCTGAAGAAAGTGAAAGTGTCAATTATGTTAGGTTTAAAAAGAGAAGGAAAAAGTTATTAATTATTTCTTATTGTGGTGTCAATTTCTATATTTTCGAATAAAATGTTTCACTATGTTTCAAGGTTATTTTTTACAATAATTCGAAATTTATATTACAATAACAGTTGTGTGAATTGATAAAAATGTTTAATCAACTGTTGAATTATACGTATTCGATGATTTTAAAAATGTTAGAGTTTATAATAAATTTCGGAATACATGATTATTTGCTAGGAATTAATTAAACTTTGTCATCATTTTAGTGGAAAAGTTTACAATTTATTATTCAATTTGTAAACCTGTTTTTAAAAATGTCGGGTTCATCAAAAAGCTCTGAATAAAATTCGCTGGTGAAAAATTAAGCACTCCAAGTTTACAGTTTCCTGCTTTTGTTGCATCAAACATTCGATACCGCTATTCCACAGACTTTATTTACAAAAATAACGGTGTCTCATATAATAAAACCTGTCGAGATGTACACGACTCGTCATCATTAATTTTACTCTATCGGTTATCATTTAAAAATTAAATATATTTAACAAAACATAATTTAATAAATGTCAAATTTGTCAATAAAAAAAGATTAGCAATATAAACATTAATAGTAAATAATTGTTTGTGAAGAAATGAATGGTTTTCAAATTATAAACTATTTTTTGTGTACCTATAAATAAATTTTGTTATAAACTATTTTTTAAGCGAATAATTACTGTCCAGATAAATTTCTGCACTATTCCACATTCTTATATAGGTGATTAAACTTTACATGGTCATTGAGCACATTACCCAAGTCGAGTAATAGATTACATAACTTTATATTTGAACCTAATTTTAGATTAAATTGTTATAAAAATAGCAACAATCGACAAAAATAAAGGTAAATAATATAAATTATGTATACTTACAAATTAAAAGCTTTTTTTGACAAAGGATGGAATATTTTTATCTTAATTATTCACCTACATTTCAAAAATCTCCCTGATTAGTTAGAATCATAAAAGAAAATTAAACTTTTAAATGCGGGCTTTGCAAATGTCATAGAAACTCGATTTGAAACACGATAATATCACAATTTTCCTAAGGATATCAAATTGAGACAAAAACGTATTAAAATTGTTGCGATGCAATAACGCTTTGATTGTCTCAATTTGAGAATCTCAGAAGAATTGTGTTTATATTATTTTACAAACCGTTCATAATATGAATTTGAAATTTTCATAATTGAAATGCGAATTTGATTGACCTACAAAAAGAAAATATTTCTGGACAATGTCCTCAATGTCTTGAAAAGTGTGTATTGTTCTTTACGCGATAAAAATGATAATGACATTCGAATCAAACTTGTAAACTTATTTTGATCGAGGTAATTTCCTGAATCCTTGACCGACGTAAACCATGTATTTATGAGGTCGACGAATCAGAAATTCTAAACATGAAATTGCGATTACCTTTCGCTTATCTTTTGAAAATTCAAATAAAGACTTTTTCTCATTTTTATGAGAATGTGTGCGCGAAACAATTGAAAGGGGCCACAGTTTGTTTTATTATCTAATATCTTAATCTCGAGCTACAATTTAAGAATATAAATTTTTGTTAATTTATTTGGTATTAACAGGAGACTTTGAAGGTCTTGCGTTTATATTTGAATAAATTATTCTCATAATGAAAGATTTGAAAAGAAGCCAAATTGGAAAATTAGAAATAATTTTAGAATTCTCGCAGTTTTCAACCTCTTATTGAGTAAAATTAAGACAATAAGCTTCAATCGCAAATGCTATCCGCAAATTTTGTAATTTACAGAGACGACAAATTTCTGTTGATTATATGTATTGCGTTCGTGACCTCTATTTTAAAATTATATGGGAATTATATTTCAATATTATAGTATAATTAGGCACATTTCTTAGGGGAAAGAAAATTTTATTTTAAGACAGAAAAGAAGTCTTAAATAAAGATGCAATAATTTTAAGACTCAATATTGTCCGACAAGAAAGTTAATTTAAATTTAAAAAGGTAATAATAATTGATTTTGTAGAATACAAAGAAAATAATTTCAAGGTACTACATAAAAAGGAAAAAAAGAGACTCGTTGCAAAATGTTGACCTGAAAAGTTAATCTTGAAAATACATTTACTACGAGGTTTGTGAAAATTGTTCAATTAACTTGACATGATTATTGAACCACTGGAGTGATAAATTTGGGGTTCCCGGTGTGGCTTAATTCTGCGTATCAAGGGCGCGCAATCATTAAATTTTCGCTTATAACTTCCTTGAGAGAAGAAGTAAAAAGAGGTTTTTTTTTATTTTACTAAAAAGCAAAAATTAACTTTACTTTCTATTTTTTGTGGAAGCACACACTCTCTTTTTACGTTTTCAACTAAATAATTATTATAATTTGTTAGACAACTGTCACGCAATTTTTCCATTTATTAAGATATTTTTCTTCCTTTTTTGCAAAAAAAGAGTATACTCGCAATAAAAATTCTTCCAGGAGTGGAAATATTATTATACAAATTTAAAATTTATTTTCTCATGCATTCCTACACGACTTTCAGAATGAGTATATATGTCTAACAACAATTCATCAGACGTTGACTTTCTAATGAAATATAGGTGCATAAGAAAATGTCCAATATATATGTATATCTCTTACTATTTTACTTTTATCAAATCAATACTCGATTGATAATTATTCAAGTCCTTCATGCAGTACCAATTCTGTATATTCCACAATGAGTAAATTTTTCTATTTTTTGTACATATACAAAAAAGTGTAATTAAAAAGATGAAATAATTGTAATAACTTTTATGTTATTTAATTTACTTCTTCATACTTGACCGATTTTTAAGACAGTTCAAGAAAGGACATTTTTTTTAAAAACCTTATGTTTTTGTATATTCAATAAACAATGTCAGTCTCGAATAGATTTACATTAGGCAGTTATATAAGAAACATAAATAATAAATGTAATAATTTTTTCTACTTTATTTTTGTTGCCGCAATCACTTTTGTTAACAACTTATGGAAATTCCGAATGGATATAATAATGTCAAATACAATGAAAATACAGACAATTAAGATAATTGTGTTTAATGACATGTAATATGTTTAAGAGTAATAGAGGTAAAAGAGTAATAATAATTATGTTCCATTTATTGAGGTCATGATTCACAATGACCAAAGGTGCTCTAAATACTTTGTAAGCAAATTTGATCTCTAGTTTTAATTAGCTTAATATTAATAAATCATTTTTATGTATACTTTTCATTTTTAATATTAATTTAAAGAATTCGGTGCATATTGTGAGAAAATTTTGTAAATAAGATTATCTTATTTTGATAGTAGGGCTGTTTTATTTACATTAAAATTTAATTTTCGCGAGAATATGTGCGCTCAAATACAATTACGATTACGGTGAACCCACTATTTCCTCTAAATCTCAATTAACTCGTTACCGCAACACATATACATATACGCAACACACAAGAATTAATCTTCCAACATGTCGTCACGAATCGTGTACGTGCTTACATAATACAAATCTAGCCGAATATTGTGTCCATCATCACACAAACAAAAAGCATTTCAAAATAAATTCGCATAAGTATAATAATTTACTTTTTAGAACATTTTTAGAAGAGAACATTTTTATATAAAAAGGGAAAATTCCAAGGTTATAATTTATTTTCCTCCAATGTGACGATTGTCATAAACTCTTCAAAATATTAATACAATATCTTCTGCACTTTCGTCTAAGTAGACTTTTACTACCGTAACGATAACTCACACCCGGTGCAATATACTGATACACATTTCACCCCGTGTACCAGTTTAATATCATGAATCGATTTCTCTTTAAATCTTTATGATTCTCTTTGCAATTTTAAATAGATTAAGTCTTGCTTTGGAAATTCAATGAAACCGAACGAATAGTGAAAATTGTCAAGGAGAGAAAAATGCAATTTTTCTAATGGGAGAATTTCATTTTAAAAATTATAAGAATTATGCGCAAGTAATAATTATTTTTAGAAAATCTCTAATGTTTAATTTTTTTAATTAAAGAAATCCCACTTGGTGGAGGAGACGATCGGCTTTGGAACGGGGTTTAACGATAATAGCAGTATGCGGAGTACTTACAGTAATTGCATTAGCAATAGCTGTTGGTGTATTGTCATCGAAAGCCCAAAACTGTGCTTCCGAAAATGGTAAGCTTTTTACCGAATATGCCCTTTTATTATTATTATATTCATTATTTATGTTTTCAGAAAATAGAATAAATTCAGAAAATTTTTTAATGCAATTTGCAAAATAAAAAGGCTGCATCTTATTTCTAAATAGTTGCTGATTATATAATATCTAATTTTAGTCAAAATGCATAATTAATATTTAAATTTGAATGCAAATAAAATGAAAAGATAAATTGGTTAGTTAGATTCGCTTAAATATTTTCGAAAAGTATTGTATAAGATATGTAATCGAAATTATATAAGACGTTAAATCATTAAAAAATAATGCCTTTATCACTTTACAACATAACATATGTTATAATATGTATATGTACTCGATGCTTCATTCAATGTCAATGTCGACATTTTTGCTTCTTCATTCCTAAAATTGATAGTTTACCTGACATAATAACCAAATATTTTCAAACGTAAATATATATTTAAATATTCTGTCATATTTGTTTATTTAAAGAGAATTACCCTAATAAAAATATGAGAAATTAATTTCATTTTTATATATTCAATTTTGACTTGTTATTTTACAAATATTTTTGCTACTCTTTAATATTGCAGTATAAAAGATTTCTATAATCATTTGAAAAATTGTAATCATATTGTTGGTATATAATTATAAGCTTTAGTATGTATTGGTAATGTTGCAAAAAAAATTAAGAGCTTATGGGGCAAATATTTTGGTTCAAAAATAAAAATTTAGATTATAATTTTTTTAATTTTTCAAGTTTCAACCACAATATAATTTACATTGTTGCAAAACAATCAGGTAAACATATAGTCATTGCAAGAAATAATGAATGTTCAATTGAAATTATGCTAGTAAAAGAAGAGATTCTCAGGGTTGCTGTACGCAACCTGGAAACCTGGAAAACCTGGAAATGTCAGGGAATTTTATAAAAAAAATTATAATTAAATATTTATTTAAAAATGAAGTAACTGATGTTTTCGAATAATTTTCGTTTTAAAATCCAGGGAAAACCTGGAAAAGTCAGGGAATTTGAAAAGAGCAAAAGCGTGGCAACCCTGAGAGATTTTTAAAAAAGGGAATTTCTATTAATGCAATAATGTATAATCAATGAGTTGCAAATTAATTAATCTTCAAATGCCTTGGTTTTCAAATCGAAATATTGATATGGAGGATATTTTTATCATTAGAGTGCATTTTAAGATTCTTATCTATTTGCAGTGTTTTATTGATATGGGTATTAGAAATAAATGTTTGAAATTTTCCAATTGATAGTACATACATTGTATTGCTTATAACACTGTGCAATCATGCTTTTTTTACACCTGCATCTACATCTGCATCCGCGCATCTGTGTCTGTCCTGAGTAGTTGCGACTAAAATGGAGACGCTACCATCCCTATCAGAAGCTTTAAGAAGTATGAAACCATCTTCAGGAATCAAAATTATAGATTCAACATCCTCGAATTGCAAGGACGTTTGCCTGACCCCCGGCTGCATTAACACTGGTACGTAAACTCTATTGGCCACGAATTCCTCTTTATCCAAAATCAATCTGTTAATTACCGTTTAATTGCAGCGTCCAGAGTATTGGAGTATATGGATTCCAATGTAGAACCATGCGATGACTTCTACAGATTTGCCTGCGGTAATTTTCTCGAGAATACTGTAATTCCCGATGATAAAACGGCTGTTAGTGCTTTCAGTGTTCTCAGCGAAAAACTTCAGGAGCAATTGCGAATCAACATTGAAGAAAAAGTGAAGCAGAATGAAAAGAAACATTTCAAATTGGTCAAAAATTTGTACAAGAATTGCATGAACCAGAGTAAGATTATTTTTAATTCATCTCAAAAGACTGTGTAATTAAATGTCTAATTGGATAAGTAAATATCTAATTCATCGTTACAGCTGCAATTAATCAAAAGGGTTTGCAACCAGTCAAGGATATTGTGAGGAATCTAGGTGGATGGCCGATTTTAGATGGAAATTCTTGGCTGGAAGGAGATTTCGAATGGAAACAATCAGTCAAGAAATTTAGGCATCAAGGATTTTCAGTCGATTACTTTTTTGATTTCAGTATTAACATTGATTTTAAAAACAGTACGAAACGAGTGTTGGACGTAAGTAAAAAAAACACTTATAAATATCTGTATATTATCTGTTTTACCTAAAAAGTGTAATGTTTAAAAAAAATGTTCAGATTGATCAAACATCTCTTAGTGTTTCACGGGAATATCTAACGAAAGGTCTGAGTAACGATATAGTTAAAGCCTACTATAATTACATGGTCGATATTGCCGTCATTTTTGGAGCCGACAGAGACAGGGCCGAGAAGGAGTTGAAGCAGTCACTTGAATTTGAAATAAAACTTGCAAATGTGGGTATTAAAATTCTAATTAAAACTGGGTTTCCCAAAAAACATTTTCAGCTTATCAAATAAGGGAATTATGAAAACAAAATTGTTTTAAAATGTAATTCTCTAAAGTAGGAAAATATTTATGTTATTTAAAATTTAGTTGGCAAATTACCACATTCAGGGCTCGAACCAGTGAAAGTATTTAAAAAAACGGACTTTACGAACCAAAAGTTTTATGGATTTCAAGCAAAGTTACAAAGTTTTACAGGATTTATGGACCTAGTTTGAGCCCTGCACTGTGCTTCTTTTTCTTTATAATAAAATGATATTTATAAAATGTCAAGAAAATTCTCATATTTACTTATATTAATTAAAATATTCAATCAGATCTCATTGCCGACCGAAAAAAGGAGGAATATAACAGCTCTCTATAATCCAATGACAATAAGACAGCTACAGACAAATTATCCAAGTATATCGTGGAAAGAATATTTCAATGCAATTCTAGAGCCAATTATCACAATTGGAGAAGACGAAGTGGTAATAGTAAATGTACCTACCTTCTTCAAAGATTTTGAAAAATTAATGGAACAAACTCCGAAAAGAGTTCAGGCAAATTATGTCATGTGGAGAGCAGTTGCAGCTACCATCAGTTATTTGAATGATGACGTTCGAAGAAGACAATTGCAATATTCAACTGCTGTTAGTGGAAAAACTGAGCGGGAACCAAGATGGAAGGAGTGTATCGATCTTACTAGTGGAAATCTTGGTCTGAGTGTCGGTGCTCTTTACGTCAGAAAATATTTTAACGAAGAGTCAAAAAAAAGTGCCGTTGAAATGGTTACCGACATTCGTAAAGAATTCAGGAAAATTTTAGAAACTGTAAGTAAATTATTTTGGAAAATGTATAATAGGTAATAATAATAATAACACATTTTTATTCGTATTTAGGTGGATTGGATGGATGAGAAAACAAGAAAAAGTGCTTTGGAGAAAGCAATGTCGATGAGCACTCACATTGCTTATCCTGATGAGCTTCTTGATGATAAAAAACTCGAGGAATTCTACGAAAATCTTGAGCTAAATCCTGGAGATTATCTTCAATCAATTTTGAATCTTACACAATTTGCCACGAATTATTCATTTAGTAAATTGAGAAAACCCTTCAACAAAACCGATTGGCTGTCACATGGTAGACCTGCCGTTGTTAATGCCTTTTATTCTTCAATTGAGAATAGTATTCGTAAGTTGAATTCATTACTCTCTTACGTAAATGCGATTATTATTCCAACTCCTTTTTTTAACTATAAACCAATTTTAATTGAAATAAAAATCTTAATTTCCAGAATTCCCCGCTGGTATTCTTCAAGGAACTTTCTTCAGTAAAGACAGGCCTCGATACATGAATTACGGTGCAATTGGTTTTGTCATTGGGCACGAAATCACTCATGGTTTTGATGACCAAGGTCGTCAATTTGACAAGGAAGGCAATCTAGTTGAATGGTGGGAATCAGAGACGAAAGAAAAATATCTTTCAAAAGCCGAATGTATTATTCACCAATACGGAAATTACACAGCTAAGGAAGTTAATTTAAACGTAAGTTGCAATTTATTGTCAACACTCTTATTAGAGTAATAGTTTTTAAAAACCTTATGAAATTAAATAATTATTCGACAATAAGTAAATTGAATTTTCCTCTCATTATTTTCAGTTGAACGGTATTAACACTCAGGGAGAAAACATCGCAGACAATGGAGGAATAAAAGAATCATACTTAGCGTATCAGGAATGGGTTGAACGAAATGGCCATGAACCAAAATTACCCGGTCTCAAGTACACACCATCGCAGCTTTTCTGGATTAGTGCAGCACAAACTTGGTGCAGTAAATACAGACCAGAAACGTTGAAGCTTCGTATAACTACCGGAGTTCACAGCCCGGGAGAATTTCGAGTTTTGGGCCCACTTTCTAATAGACCGGAATTCGCAAAGGATTTCAATTGCCCCATTGGCTCAACAATGAATCCCAAGAAAAAATGTTTCGTTTGGTAAAACATTGCATATGCTTTTTAAAATTTGTATCAAATAAAGATTTTTCTCAATGAGTAACTTTAAACACGATGAACATGGCAAACATGGCAAACATGGAAAAATTAAGTGGGTTTTACTAAATCATTTTCTAAATGAAGAATCTAAAAATTTTCCCTAGTCTTTAAAAAGACAATTGTTACCTACTCATTTTTGTGTGTATAAATCTTTTCAGAGAATATATGAATAAGAGTTGTAAATACAGAAGGAAAAAGTAATGTGTTGATCAGGTGAAAAAGTTTAATGTTTAGAATATTAAAAATTGTTGTCCACAGTTAAAGATATTATATTTAATTATTTTAGACTGCGCGTTTATTGTCTGATATCATCTCGAGATTAATCTTTTCTAATATGAAAAAAAGAGATAATTATAGTCCACTCGATGTAATATTTTTTTAAGGAATATTTAGTTTTTAAAAGTAGCCATACTGATTGCATTCACGTGTGAGTGATTTCGTTTTAATCTGTCATTTTTAAGTACTTAGTCAATGTAGTATTATTATTTGTTATGTGTTAAATGAAAGAAACAAAAATAATTTCCGAAAGCATATTCTGGTAAAATGCGCATCATATATGAAAATCGTTTTTTATAAAAAGACATGAATTTTCCAATTAAAAATTTTATCATAAAATCTTACAAGGAAATTAGTTTCCTGTTTAATGAAAGAGTAAGGATTTGTGTAATGCGGTACTTCTGTACAGTTGCTGTATTTAATAATTTTTATTGTAATAAATTTTTTCTAAAATACTGAGTTGAAAAATATTAACCAAATTTTCATTCACATGATTTTGTACATAGAATAAAATTAACATTTTACTTTTCCGTTTATTTCTTTGTCTTGAAATTACGCTTTAGAAATACATTTCAACACTAAGCTTCTGATATTATTGTTTTGAGTTTTATCTCTGTATAATGTATATGAATCAGTTGGATACAATAAGAAATATTAAAATATTGTTTTTGAAGAAAACTCGTATTAAAAACAATGAGAATGATCAATGAAAATGATTCAAAAAGAAATTAATTATTTAGTTTAAAAAAAGGTTTCTTGTCAAATATTTTTTAATTTTTTTCAAATCGAAGTTCAATTATTTTGAGCTGGAGGCTTAGACCAATCTACATTCAAAATAAGATGATCGTATCCATAACCGTTCAACATGGAAATTGCTTTAGCTGCTTCGGCTCTATATTTAAAGTGAACATACGCGAATCCTTTGCAGACATTACTTGGTTTTTCCTTAGCGAGATAAAGCTTTTGAATAGCCCCGAAAGGTTTGACAAGTTCCTCCAAATCGGCGTCGGTTGTGCTTTCAGACAGATTGGAAATTCTAATGGCAGTCGTGTCGTCCCGACGTTGCATTTGCATCGAGTCTCCACGTTTGTTTCCTCCGTCGCGCATACTTGGCGGAACGTATTTACTGCCTTGAGGTTTGCCGATGTCAGCCAGGGCGGAGGCAGTGGTGGCAGTAGCAGCCGCAGGATTCATTAACGGCTTCTTGTCATCTGGAATTTTACCTTAATTTATAGTACAAGATAAATTGCCATATAGGTTTATATAAGTATAAATAATCTAAAAAATAAGTTACCACTGCCAAGAACAGTATCCTTGTAGGGGCACTTTGATGTCCAATGGTCGCCATTACAATTACGACACTTTACCACTCCCTTATCACCCATATTCTTCAATTTGTCGAGCGAATCTTCCTCAACTTTATTTTCTTCTTCCTTGTTGGAAATAAATTGAATAAAAACATCTTCAGCAATAACAGTGGTTGCTGGGTTAGGTCCTGGCCTATCGTCCTCTGAATCTCCAAATTTACTCCAATTTTTACGAACGGCTATGGTTTTCGAAACTATACGTTTCTCTATTTTGTAAGTTCTAACAACTTTAACTTTTTTGTTATCGTCATTAAATTTATATTCTGTGAGGATTTTAAATCCATTTTCGTGAACTTCAGTTGGAGGAGGTAAAGTTCCTCCTTCTTCTTCAACCTCATCAGCCCAACTGGATTTAACTTCAAACGCTGCTGGCATTTCTAAAAAAAACAAATACAGTTTAATTGTGCGTATAAATGTTTTATTTAGGTATTTAAGAAAACTGATTTAGTAATTTTGCAAGTTGTACAATTGTACTCATAGATTCATATTAAAAGTATGATACATTAATACATTTTGATTAGATTGACATACTTTATTATTGTATATTATCATGCAGAAATTCTTTAAATTAGGTACTAATTGCAAAGAATTTTCCAGTCAAGTGAAATTCAATTTTCGTAATGGCCCTTTTACTAATACCAATAGGAATATGCAGAATAAAAATAAATTTTTCTTATGTTAATAAAATACATAAATGTATATGTATACGAAATGACAAGCTCTCAACATGGAGAAAGTTAGGTTAGACTGCTGCACGTGCTAACCGTTCGCCTGTACATTTATAAATATTCTAAGTAGAGAATCTTGTGGTACAATAAACATTATGAGAATTTAATGTTTTTTATCAAGACATTCATTCTTATATACTATTACAATTATGTACCTAATGAAAGAAGTTTAAACTCAACAACTCACTGTTAACACATATGCACGCAAGTATAACGTCAAAATGATAAGCACTCACCGATTTATATTTTCTGATCGTTTGCTTGGATTTAAATGCACTTCTATATCAATTATTATGTGTGAAATTAAATTTAACATATATGTGCGTTAAAAACAATTTAAATGAGAAAATTACCGATTTTGTCAAATAAAATTACCAACGGCGTGGCCTTAGCAATAGAACTTTAATCTTTAACGCACTTTGCTTTTGCATTGGTGGAACGTGGAACCGTGACTGTAGAAGACTGAACGAATGGACGTGAACCAGTTTGAACTGATCTTAGGGAAATATTTTTCTAAAATTTTAATTCATTATAAGTACATATTACTGTAAAATTATAATATCGAAAGTTTATTTAACTAACAATTTAAATTAAACTTTTATATTTTTATTTAAACCAGTGACTTTTAATTTGAAATAGGCGCTCAGAATTGTTTTGCTCCTCTAGCGGCAAAATACTACAACTAATGTTATTCCGCAAAAAATGGCCATCATTAGCGTTGTGGAAGTGCGTGGAAAAGTCAGAAAAGAATAATGTCTTTTAACATGTGAAATAATACAGCGATTAAATCAGTCTAGAAATAATTAAATTTGGTTATTGATTGTGATTGTGAAGTGGTGAATTTATACATGAAAAAATGGATCAGGCTCCTACAGGTAATCACAAAAATGCGTATGCCGGGCTACTATTTTCACTGACACTTTTTATTATTAATTACATTAATAAATTTTTATCATTGCTATTTTTGTTAAGAAATCTTCACTTGTTTGAAATAATCCATATTCAATTTATTATTTACTGTATTTTATGATGTATGTATGTATATTTGAAAACTATTGTTTCCAAAGTGTAAGGTTATGTCAAACTTCTGGACAGAAGTTGTAAAACTTAGTAGCAAGTTTTATATAAAAATTAAAAATTAAAAATAAGTAGAGTTAAAATTTAAATATTAAATGAATTCATTTAATTACAAATTATATATTGGTTAAAATTTAATCAATTTTATGTTTTTAATATTGTATAGGAAGTTTTTAAAACAGCATGAGAATGTCATTCTCTACTTTTGTCAAAAGATGCTACACGTGAATGGATTTTTTTATAATAATTATTTAAGCATTAAAGATGTTTGTTTTTTCATTATTTACAAATTTTTAATAGTAATTTACATTTCTGAAATAACAATGATATTTAAGAAAATTATTTTTATTGTTATTGTGTGTAGACATGAAAAAAATCAATTAGGTAGTAAAAAATAAGGAATGGAAATTTATATATGTTTTCTTTAAAAAAAGAAGTTCATTTTTCACAACAAATTTCAGGGGTAAAATCGAAGTAATTAAATTTAGGCAATTAGATTTTTAGGTATTGAATTCACCTTCTACGATTGAGGTACTCCTGCGTTTACAATAGTAACAATAGTATTTTATTATTTAATTAAAAGATAAAAAATGATTTCTTAATTAAAATGATTTTTTTGAAATACAGATACGGATCTTCGAAACATCATTGACAAGCTGGCGCAGTTTGTTGCTCGTAATGGACCTGAATTCGAGCAGATGACAAAGAATAAGCAGAAGGACAACCCCAAATTTAGTTTCCTGTTCGGTGGAGAGTACTTCAACTACTATCAGTACAAAGTGACGACGGAGCAAGCCAGTAAGTGGGAAAAAACCCCTTAACAGCTACAGCGATTGAAATCCATAAGGACATTATTCACGCTAGGAATGAAGAGTGCGGTCGAAAACAGTATGGAAAATACAACGCGCACGTAAAATATGCATCCATTCGACGCAATCTTTCCATGATTTTGAACTTACGTTTTCTTATCAAGGCGGATAGAAGTAAATCGTATTTTTCTTTAAAACTCCGATATTTTGGCAGTAAAGTCAATAGAATTTCTTTATTTTATTCAATATTAGTTATCGAAAGTAATAAAATTAATTAATCCATCCGGCTCTTTAACTTAATTGACAAGATTCTTTCTGTACACCGGTACAAGAATTAAAAAATTCAACGTTTATATTTTCAATATCGCTCGACATCTTTAACATCAATCAATAATTCACCGTCATTCCGTTTACAGTTTTAAAGCAAAAAGGAATAAATCCAATGCAAAATGCAGACCCACGTTTAAACGTTTCGCAGCAGCAGCAGCCGCCGCCGCCACATCAACATCCATCTGCAACGCCAGGCTCGCAGGGGCTGAATAACGTCAGTCTTGTGTCGAATTTAAATACTCAAAACAATGGCCTGAGTTCAATCGCGGCAGTTGGAACACCAAGCTCGATTGTGCCTGGCGCGATTAGTGGAACGAATGCAGTGCCACCGATGGCCTCGACCATTGACAGTGGACCCTTGACACCCGGCAGCAATATCAATGGACCACCAGTTTGGCTACAAAACGAGCTGTCTAATCTCCAGTCGCAGCAAGCTACTCTTCAGGAACAAGTCCGGCAATCCGAACAGAACTTGGCCGCACAGCACGCTTCACTGATGGCGCAGCAGCAAGGAAGAGTGGAGGATGCAGTTAGACAGGCACAAGAAACTTCTCTGCAAAATAGTGCTCAGAGTACCAGTACTGATTTAGCTGCCTTCGATGCAGTTCTGCAACCTATAATTGATAGTTGTACAAAGGATAGTATAAGCGCTGGAAAAGCTTGGATTCTCCAACATTCAATTTCTCTAGAAAGCAATCAAGTGGTTGCTGACCATTTATTAAAAAAGTAAGTTTTCTTAATTCTCACTTACATATTTTCTACTTCATTTTTTAAAACATTTTACTAATTAAACGTAACTTTTAGAGTTATTCAGGGAACTTCATTTACCCAAAAGTTACATATTGTTTACCTGGTTAACGATGTCCTTCATCACTGGTGAGTTTGATAAAAATAACTTTGCTTCTTTTCAAATTTTCATACTCTCGATAATTTTTTTCTAAAAAAAACACATGTTCATTTATTTACTAAATTGTTTTCCTTTTCTCAATTTCAAAATAAATTGATGTATAGTGCTAGAAAAAAGTCAATGGATCTACGAAAAGCGATGGAAAGTGTAGTAGTTCCTATGTTTTGTAACTCCTCCTTAGCAGCTTCAGAAGAGCAGGTCACTAAATTAAATAAGCTCCTTAGTCTGTGGGAGTCGAAAAATAATTATTTCGACGAGGGAATTGTAGATAAACTAAAACAACCGAGCACTTCTTGGTCAGAGTATCAAGCTAGTCTGGTAGCGCTTCATGCATCTGCCATAACTTCAATTACAGCCTCGACAAAACAGACTTTCGACAATTATCAGGCACAGCATCAGGCATTTGTCAATCATGCCTTGAGGCAAATACAAACTATTGAACAACAGAAAATTGCTATTGATCAGCAACTTAAATCTCCACCACCAGTTATGGTAAATTCTATTATACTTATTATAAAAAAGTATTAAAGTAAAAAGTTGAAAATTATAAAATATTTAATTGTTCTGCAGAACCAACCAAGTATAGGTGCACCCAATATCCCTGGGAATCAACCGATAAGCGGAGATATAAATTTCACTCAACCACCTCCAGGTTGGGGACCAAATGCAAATCCAGCTCCATTCTCTAATGTACCATTGCCAGATTTTTCGAAACCGCCACCGGGATTCGGTCCACCACCACTTATTCACGAGCCTTCTGTGGAAGACTTATTGCCCAGTATGCCCTATTTTGAATTGCCCGCCGGTTTGATGGTTCCTTTGATTAAATTAGAGGATGGGGAATACAGACCGCTCGATCCAGATGCAATTAGATTACCTCCTCCAGCTCCACCCAGCGATCGATTAGTTGCGGCAGTGGAAGCATTTTATGCACCACCTAATCATGATTCTCCAAGAGATAGGTAAATATAACAGACAAATATATAAACGAAGATTAGAAATAAATTCAGGGCTCGAACTAGGTCCGTAAATCCCGTAAAAATCCGTTTTTTCAAAAGGTCCGTAATTTAATTCAAAAGGATGAAAAGTTCGTAAATTGTACGATATAATTTGTAGAATTTTAGAGAAATTACAAATGATTGCAGAAACTCAATTATGTTCAAAATTTTTTTAAATTTCTCATTAAAATTTCAATTATCTTTAGATATAATTAAAAATTCTTCTCCGAAATTCAATTATTTTCAGAAAATTTTCTCAATTCAATTATTTTCAATATCTACTATTTTCATAAAATTTTCCAAAAGAATTCAATTATTTAAAAAAAAAATTAATAAAATTCTACACAAACTTTTAATTATTTTCGAAAAATAATTAAAATTTCACAGGAATTTCATTACTTACAAATTTTTTTATAAATTTCTTCGCAATCATTCAATTATTTTCATAAATAATAAAATTTTTACGGGGATTCAATTATTTACACAAATAATAAAACTCATTGCAGAATTTCAATTATTTTTAATACAATTTTAATCGAATTCCTTGAAATTATTTAAAGTTTTGGTTTTATAATATATATTTAATTGAAGAATATACAAATAATTGAAATTTTGTAAAATTGAATTGTAAACAAATGAATTTGAAAATTCTTAAAGAACTTTTTCAAAAATTATTAAAAATAATGGATAATCGATTTATAGAATATGTTAAGTTAAAAACATGAAAAAAAGAATTCAATTTTGTAAAAGTTACAAATTATTGTAAAAATTCAATTATTTTCAAGAGAGTAGTAATATTCTTCGGAAAAATTAAATATTATTCAAAAGTAATAAAATTCTTCTTAGGGATTCAATTATTCTCACAAATAATAAAACTCATTGCAGAATTTGAATTATTTTTAATACAATTTTAATCGAATATCTCGAAAAATGTAATTATTCTTAAATTGTTTATTTATATTTGTTGATAGAATTCAATTATCTAAAAATTTGTTGATAAGGATTCTTTATGGGAATTGAATTTTAATAAACATTCAATTATTTAATAAATTATTTATTTTTGTATTGAAATAATTGAATTCCAGTAGAATTTTCTAATGAAAATTGATTTAAAAATAAATTTCTGGTAAAATTTTAGATAATAATTGAATATTAAAAGCAATATAGCGTAAATTTTTAACTATAATTGAATTTTGAAATTAATTTTTTTGAAAAAGTTTAATTGTGCATTTTTTTTGAAATTATTTGGAGTTTTTATTTTCGAATATTTATTTAATTGAAGAATTGACGAATAATTGGAATTTCGTAAAAATGAATATTGTAAACAAATGAATTTGAAAATTGTCAAAGAACTTTTTCGAAAATTATTAAAAATAATTGATTTAAAGAAGAATTTGAGTTAAAAATTCTTGAAAATAATAATTGAATTGTAAATGATTTTATCACTCGGTCATCTTTAATTATTATAAAACATGAAGAAATCGATCACTTCGAGTCGAAGACTCGGACTGGTTTTATTTTTGTCAGTAATTTTTCATTTTTGGTCCGTAAAGTCCGTATTTGTAAATACTTTCACTGGTTCGAGCCCTGCAAATTTGATATCTCCTGAACAGAAACTTATTTTTTCTAATTGTGAAAAATCAAAATATTTAAATTGCAATTAGTTTAATATTTAATTAAATTACAATTTTCTTACGTTTTCAGTGATGGCTGGGAAAAATTAGGTTTATACGAGTATTATAAAGCCAAGAATGCGGCACGTAAACGGAAAGAGGACGATATATCTGTTGGAGTTAGAGAAAAAACAAAGTCCCCTTCTCCGATTCTAAGGCCCAGGTCGAAAAGTCCAAGCCCACCAAAGAAGCGATACAGGAGCAAATCCAGAAGTAGGTCGAGATCGAAATCACGAGGTAGAAGCAAATCTAGGTCTCCTACGGCGAATCACAGACGAAACAATCGAAACGTTAACCATAATAGTAGAAATAGGAGAAGAAGAAATAGCAATAAGGAAAGGAGTCCCGACAGGAGATTGGACCGACAAGACAGAAGTCCAACTCCGCCTAGTTTCTTGTTAGTATAAAAAATTTTCTTCTACCGAATTTGACAATTTGATAACAATTTTCAACTATTTCTGATATTTTGAAACTTTTCTTTGACAGAGGATCGACTTACAGTAAAATTCCAGAGGTTAGTTTAGATGAAAGTAATAAGGGTCATCAGCTGCTGAAAAAAATGGGATGGAGTGGTGCTGGATTGGGCGCAAATGAACAAGGCATCGAAGCACCAATTTCAGGCGGTGAAATCAGGGACAGAAATGATCAGTATAAGGGTGTAGGTATTAACTTAAATGATCCTTACGAAAATTTCCGGAAGAGTAAAGGTCAAGCATTTATCACGAGGATGAAAGCAAGAGCTGAAGAGCGAGCTGAGGAAAGAGGTGACTGAAATTAATTGTATAAAAACATAGTTACTGAACTTTACAATACTTTTTTTGTGCATAGTTTTGATCAAATCGTAACTAGATCAATTTTTATGTCTCTTGATACTAATTCTTTGAAAAGATTGACATCGAGTGTCGCATGGAAAATATTCCACTGTTCTTCCACTTTTAACAAAAAATGGAGTTGTTGAGCACTATTTTATCACAATATACTCAAAGCAAAGAGAAATAATTTTGAATAATTGTCAAACGTTTGTTTAACGTTTTTTAAAAACTGCAAAAATTTATAATATTAAGACATCTTCCAAAAAAAAAAAATACACACATATACACAGTATGATCACACTTTTTTTGTATTGTATATGTTTATTACAATTGATAGAACGTATGAATGCTTTTCTTGAATTGGAAGAAAATTTGTCGAACGCTGTGATTTCAATCTTTATCGCGTTTGCCTGCAAAAATCGAAATACGTGTATTTATTGACGTATTAAACAATAATTACTATATTGGATACACAAATATAGCTCCAAAATAAAATCTGTAAATTTCATAAAAAAAAAGTGAGTTTGTTTGTTTATTTAAAAGAAAGTAACTAAATTGTTCGATTCTTAAAATTTGTTTAATCCAAGTTTTATTATTACAGTAAATAATCTTAATCAAACTTGGAGAACAAGTACTTTTCAGTGCATAATAAATAAAAGACTAAGTAAATGAGAATAAATTGATTGCACGTCTGCAATAATTTTAATCAGTCTCCTTATGAACCCCCGAGTGAGAAATGATAATTAAACTGAATTAATCCACTCGCAAACCAGTTCAACTAAGATAACTGTCAGCTTTCAAGTCGTAAACATAGTTGCAAAAAGTATAAATACAATTTCAATTTTTTTATGCCAACACCAGTGTTATTGCTTGCAAAAATTGATAATGATGAGTTGAAATTTTTTTTTTTATCCAACTAACCTAAATTACAAATTTGAATTTATTTTTGAGTGAAAAAAAATAATTCTTTTTAATTTATTATATTATTCTTTAATTGGAATTTAAAAAGAAAACTTAAAATGTCATTGTGCTTTTTAGTTAAACAAGTACAGTGACCAGTATCAACAACTCACGTTTATGCATGACTATATTTTCTTCGACTAATGTTACGAGATAAAACACGTTAAATACAAACGTGACTTATGTCGCCAAGTAAAATGGGGAATGAACCATTTGCTGGTAATTAAAACTGCTGATCTTAAAAATTTTAATTTACATTACATTACAAGTCTTAAAAATTCAAATTTACATTACAACTGATGGAAATTAACGATTGAGAATATCAAACGCAAACAAAAACGTTAATTTTTTCTTGACGTAATATAAAATAGTCAATTATTAAAATTCACGTATTTTTTACAATTATTTATTTTGTTAACATTATCAAAAATGTTGATGTGACACGTGTACTATGATGTGCAATATTCTTCTAAAAATACTGTTGAGAAGAAGAATTCTATTTATAAAATGCACACTTAACTTAACTCCAAGCCATATTTAATTTAATAATCGATGTGAAGATTTTTGTTGGATGCAAAAATTCTGTTTTACAATTTTTATTTCATTACTAATTTTGTCAATAGAAAAGATCAAAGTTCTTTGTTATTTTTGTTAGTATCAAGTCTTAGTCTTGATTCCTTGGAAGAATTTTTTTATGCAATAGAACAAGTTGGGAAATTTTTTTATAAACCGATTATTAACTTCTCTCCTGAAATAATAATTGCTCAACAATGCTAATTTTTCTCTACTTTGTTTAAAATTCTTTTTTAGTTAAATTAAAAAAAAGATTTCAAAAAGTATAGTTGGAATTGTTTTTAAAAGTATGCAAGATTTCCTAAAAAAAACTCAAGTCGCTGTCAAGAAAAAAGTGCATTCTAGTCATATAGAAGTGACTAGGTTCACTATTCCACGTGATCTAGAGGGAAGGGCACACCTCGGTCGCCTAGTCACGCGCTCTACCACGCTTTACCCTTCTTAACACGTGCACGCAATTGCTTGCACACATTTTGCAGGAAAAAACAATTTCAAGTTATTTATATATTTTTCTCGGTGACCAGCATAAATCTTTAACTACTTTAAACTTATATTTTGTTCACTGTAAAGCAAAAATCGTGGACTATTCGAATATTATAATTTTATAATTGAATTGTTTTTTAAAATTTCTTATTTAAATTTTTTATTTAGATTTTTTATTCAACAGTGAATTTATGTATTTTTTGCTTTTAATCTACATTTCATTGGTTTGTAGAGGACACTTATTTTTTCATTTTTTTCCGCTGGTCATAAAAAAATAAAAAGTCGATATTAACCTCCTTTCAAGAAAAAAGAAGCCATAGTGCAATGAGATATAGCTTCATAAAATATGAGGTTTTGTTAATCGAATAGGGGCAAAATAATAATTTGATTTTGTTAGCAAAAATATATTGCAGAGCAAAAAAATTGAAATAAAATGTAAAACGTTTATTTTTTAAACAAGATGACTAGACGTTTTTAAAGTAACACTGTTGACGAGCTAAGACACAAGGTGTCCATGTGAAATGAAGTTGAAGGCAGACGAGGTTTATTTTCTCTTGGTGGATCGGTCAGAAAATAACAATCTATTTTTGGAATTCACGTCACACTTGTAGATAGCTTTAGCTGGACATTATGAGGTGTGCCAATGATCCACGTGTGCGCTCCAGTTACTAAATTATCTTTGAATAATCATCTTGTCTTTAACCAAACAATATACCTACTACAAAAATTTATCTCTTTTCAATCTGGTTAGATTTAAAAATGCGCGATTTTTCTAAGGATATCAAATTGAGACAAACAGGCAACAAACAAGTTTGTCTCAATTTGATATTCTTATAGAAGTACTGTGATTATTGATTTTTGCGATTGAAAATTGAATTTTTATATACTTGATGCAATAAATTATAAGCTTCTAAAATTTAATAAGAGTAGTAAGCTACTCTTATTCAGGGTTTCCACGCAACCTGGAAGTGTCAGGGAATTTTAAAAACCTGAAAAACCTTTTAAACTCCTGAAAAATTGCTGTTTCTTTGAAGCAATTACAAATGATTACAGAAATTCAATTATTTTCAAAAGTAGTAAAATTCCTTTCAGAAAATCAATTATTTTCGAAAACTTTCCTCAATTCAATGATTTTTAATATCTACTACTTTAATAAAAATTCCTAAAAGAATTCAATTAGTTAAAGAAAATTTTAATAAAATTCTACGCAAACATTTCATTATTTTTATAAATAATAAAACTCAATGCTGAAATTCAATTATTTTTAATAGGGGAGAGGTACGCACGTTCTATTATTGTTAATAGAAACTATTTGTCTCCAAATCGGTGAAATCTTTTTTTTATATTTTGTAAGTAAATGAATTGTTTGCTTAAATGAGATGATTTTTAAAACTGGATGAAACAAGTTTTACACGTGGAGTAGAATATGTTTATTTCACAAGAATTGAAAATGATGATCATCATTATATAACGAGGAAATGTGTGTAGAGCTCTCAAATTATAACATTGCTTTGAGTATTTCGTTTTGATGAGGAAATTTTCTTATGAGAAAATATAGCATTAACATATGGACTTTGTGGATGAACAATGCAGTTCGAAATCAGTAATATGTTTGCAATTATCTCTATTATGAGAATTTGTCTAAAATTTAAAATTTCATAAAGTTTGTTGAGTATCTTAAAGTTTCTTTTGGTGAAAGACCTTGATGAGTAGATAAGGTTGAAAATTTAGTAAAGAATCTTGTATAGTGGCGTATAGACAGAGATTATATTTTGCTAGACAGAATAATGAAAAAAGATTGCAAAGCAAAGTTCTTATGTTGGAAGAGAAGAGAAGAGAAGAGAAGAAGCAATGAATACAGTGTTAGTGGCACAAGATGAGGTGGAAAGGTATAAATGCGTGAGAGGTCGAGCGGGTGGGGTGTGGTTGTGTCTGGGTGAGGTGGGGGGCAAGAGGGAAAGGTTGAACGAGCGAGCGCGTGACGGTACACGTGACTGGGAGCACACAGTGCTCGCGTGACCGGTCCCATGACGTCATAAGCACGTGGTACGATGCATGCCCAAGTCCTGTCCACCAAACTTGGCTGATAGTCACTGAACTCCGCCGAATGCCGATTTTTATGTCTCTCATTGTCAGCACTGTCTTCTTGTTTTCGCTTCAAAATTATTTCTTCAATCATTACTTAAACATTTTCCTCACGTTCCTTCCTCACAGTTTTCAAAATCTGTTCAAAATTATTTTTTCTCAGAAAAATCTAATTTTTTGCTCTGTTAATTGAATCTCATGGCCCTGAAGAAAGAGAGTCGCACCTGCTGCATTCTGAATCTTAAATTCTTATTGGCGGGCATGAAACTTGAAGTTACAAAGCTTTTTTTAACTTTTCTTCATATCTCGAATTCAAATACTTGATACTTTGTTTTATTTGACTTATTTCATCCTAAATAACTATTTCGATCGGGTGATAAATTCATATACATATATATTAATATAATTAAATGAAAAACTGCAAAATTAAATTTTCAAGGAAAAAAGTTTCAGTTTGGTAAAAATATTGAAGTCTTCAGTTTTCTTCAAGCATAATTTGTGAAATGTTTCCAAAGATGATAAATGAATAAAATTTATTTTAAAATTCTGAGGGACTAAAAATCACTCCAAAAGTTATGAGAGTGTGAGATTCGTGTATTTTTCAAGTGGACCCACTCCAGGGGGATTTAAAGAGTCGATTAATATCAAGTATACACTCTGCATCTCTTCTTCTTCGTGTTTCATCCTTTTGTAAGAAGGAATTTCGCGGACGCGAGTCAACGGCCTTATCTCTCTTCCCCTCCCAATTTCTCTTACTCCTCCTTTCTTGTCTCTTTCCAGTTCCCAAGCCATGACACACGACAATGCCTCAAAGGCAACGAGACTCTGCAGGTTCGATTAAAAAATCCCTACGCGAAATTCCACGCGTCAAATAAAAATAGAAAAGTTATTTCTTCGATTCTTACTCTTACAAGTGGCTTCTTTCGTTCATTGGGAAACTTACATTTATGATCTTGATACTTTTATGAATTGCTCCTCTCGCAAGGTGTCTCACTCACTACTCGTGAGTGAATACACGGGGGAGTTTCTACGGAGAACGCGTTGCGCGTTTATACGTTACGTCGTGAACGCGAGTGAAAAGTCGTGGGCGATTCCCGAGTGTCGGCCTTCCTTCCTTCCTCGACCTCTTCGATGTGCCACAGTGCCAGTGAGTTAGTGGCGGCGAACCTAACCTAAAGTCGTGTCCGATCAAGCGAACAAGGAGGTTTCAAATTGTGTGACGTTCCTCTTTTTCAGTACTTTTCTCAGTGAATTAACTGAATGTGTGTTATTTGCGAGAATCGCGAAAATCCATACTTACTGTTTTCTGTGCACGTGTACTGTGAACTTGATTCGAATGATAACTTTATTTTCGTCCAGGAATATTGCTCTTCTTCCTCTGAATTTTACACTTATTCAAGTGACAAGTCTCAACAGTGATTATAATCAGTGCCAGTTGTTTTGTTTTTAATCCGTTTCAATTATTATTCTATGCGTCAAAATGATGGACACTCAGAACTATTGGGAGGATAATTCCGCTCATTCCATGCAGGTCAAGTATGAAAGGTGAGTAAATGTATCAATTACTTTTAAAT